AGGCATGCAGGCTGCTTCTACAAACATTGGTGAAAGAATGGGTCGCTCTCAGGAGCTCAATGAATTGAAGCATGGTGGCGTGATAGGTTGCCACCTGTGCAATCTATCCATGAAATTTCCTTGCTGCTAAATATTCCATGGTCAAATGTTAGTGGTATTATAACAAAGTGGAAGCAACTGGGAGCAACAGCAACGTAAAATGACAGAGCGGGGTCAGCACATGCTGAAGCGCACAGTGCACAGAAGTTGCTAAAGACCTCCAAACTTCATGTGGCCTTCAGATTAGCACAAAAACAGTGCATAGAGAGCTTCATAGAATGGGTATCCATGGCCAAGCAGCTTTCACCAAGTACATCGCAAAATGTCAAATTCAGGGTTGTAAACCACGCCGCAACTGGACTCTAGAACAGTGGAGACGTGTTCTTTGGAGTGATGAATCACACTTTTTTGACTGGCAATCTGATGGATGTGTCTGGGTTTGGTGGTTGCCATGAGAACAGTACTTGCCTGACTGCTTTGTGCCAAGTGTAAAGTTTGGTGTAGGTGGGATTACGGTGTGGGGTTGTTTTTCAGGGACTGGGATGGCTCCTTAATTCCATTGAAGGGAACTCTTGCAGCTTCAGCATACCAAGACAATTTTGTGTTCCCAACTTTGTGGGAACAGTTTGGGGATGGCCCCTTCCTGTTCCAACATGACTGCACACCAGTGCACAAAGCAAGCTTCATAAAGACATGGATGAGTGAGTTTGGGGTGGGGGAACTTGACTGGCCTGCACAGAGTCCTGACCTCAACCCCATAGAACACCTTTGGGATGATTAGAGCAGAGACTCGAGCCAGGCCTTCTTGTCTGACATCAGTACCTGACCTCACAAATGCGCTTCTGGAAGAATAGTCAAACATTCCCATAGGCACACTCTTAAACCTTGTGGACAGCCTTCCCAGAAGAGTTGAAGCTGTTATAGCTGCAAAGGGTGGACCAACTCAATGTTGAACCCTACGGACTAAGACTAGGATGCCATTAAAGTTCATGTGCGTGTAAACGCAAGCGTCCCAATATTTTTGGCAATATAGTGTATATAGAAATAATTGGACTGAAAGGAACGATTGCAAGGAAGTGGCCCTGTCTTCCCTAAATGTACAACGTCTCATGAGAAGAGCAAAATCGCAAGTGGAGTACGAAGTGTTAAAGCTGAACTTCAGGAAAAGTAAAAACCCTCCTTGGCAGTGGAGCTGGGTCCATACTAAAAGGATTAAATGCTCATTTTGGACCAGGGAAGAGGTCTCCAAATGTTCAAAACAAAGGACCAGTTAATGCCCTCCAAACATTAGGGGGGGCTAGACTGTGGCCAGTGGGATTAGAAAATGCCCTGGCATCAGTGGAACTAAACAATGCCATAGGCTTGATGGTCCTTGGGAGTAAAATAATTAAATTTTTTGGTGTCAGTTTGTGGAATAGTGCCCCATAATTGGTGTCCGTGGGAGAATTAGTTCCCAGCTCTGGTGTAAGTGGGAAGAATAATGCCGTCTTTAGTGCCAGTGGAAGGAATAGTGACTTGCATCAGTGGAAAGAATAGTGTCCAAAGGGCTGTATAAAGGCAAGCAAAGGACCACATGCAGCCTGTGGGGCACAGTTTGGAGACTCCTGGTTTAGGGGATGGGAAAAGCAGTTTTATTACCCTGCACTGGACTTGAGGACATGAGAGACAGTCCACTGCTGGAGAATAGGAGGTACCAGCTGCTGCAGGAGTATCAAGTAAATAAAAATGCTTTTTCTGTTCCTTAGACCTAAACCAGCATTTAACCCTTGCAGTGTGGGGACAGCCCTAGTGCAATGGAGAATTTTCCATGGAATGGGCTCTACTGGCAAATATCGTTAGTGTCCGATTTCCAGTGTGGACCACTGTTTTCAAGAGGTTTATTCAAGGCATATGATAACCTTGTTAAAATTGTTTTTGATAAACGGTAAATATCAGGACTATGATTAAAAAATGTAACAAGTTTAAATGCATACAAATTGTAAGTGAATAAATATGTACTAAGATATAAAATTGCACCCTAGTTCTGTAATTATTCATTCTAAATGTTACTAGAGCTACAAAGATTAGGTTTCTGCTGGTCATACAATTTTAGTAGTCACTCTGTAGTCACTGGCTAGAAGTGCATGTTGGAATCAGGGCTGTATTTACCATAGTGCACCCATGGACCAGGTCAACACCAAGCCACAAACTTTACATTTCTGAGCATTTGTAGTTCAGGAGAACCATAGAAAGAAGTGGGTGCTGCAAATGTTAAGAGAAGTCAGAAGGCACATTTCAGGAAATGTGATGGATGGACACCCATTGTAATGTCTGAGAGTACAGGGTGACAGTGATGAATCTCAACAACTTCCCGTAACCATGCTAAGCAAACAATGGTATGTAAAGATATGGCAAATGTTATTGCAGTATCCACATCCTGTCTATTGTGGGTTCAGTACCCAGTGGTGTACGACGATACGGCATTTTTGTTATCCATCCAAATTAACTTCAGGGAAGGGTATTTTGGGCTTATAATTGTTTACTTTGAGGTTTTCAGTTGATATGTTAAGTATGAAAAAAAACAGGCTCTGCTAAAGTTCAATTACATCTATGTCATATGTCTACAGTATTTTGAGGAAACATAACTGTTTCATGTCTGATTTTGAAGTGGCTAAACATTCCATGAAGCTGGCCTCATTACATCAAACTGTATTCCCATGCCTTGGAAACAGCTTTAATAAAGAGACCCATCACAATTGCGCTGATGGAGCAATCTGAACATTCAGTCTCTTAGGGCTCGTTCACACCATGGTGCAGAGCCATCAGTTTTTCTGCACGTGTTCTGCAAGGGCACAATGAAATCTATTGTTCTCTATGTGCCCTGTTCACACCACAACACTAGTATCAAATGCAGATTATTTCTATGCGGGAATCTGCAAGGTGTATAAAACTCATTGAGGCTCACGTGAAAACTGATGTAAACTGATGTCTCTTCAAGTGAAATCTGCGCGTCAGTTCCATCAGTTTTTCTGTATGCTGTGAACGAGGCCTAAAGCTCATCTCCAGCCACAATTTGTTTTTGTTTTAGATAGAGTGCGAATTATTGGCTTCTATCTGGTCCCTGTTAAGAAGATTTTTCAGTAGGATTTCAAATTCGTTCTGTATCCCCATAATGCTGACAGCTTTCAAGAGGTTAACAAAATCACAATAGAACTAGCCTGTAATGGCTAGACATACATTTCCATTGGCACACTTGCTAAGTCTTTTTGGGGTATCAGAGTTCATGGCACCCACTATTTGACCAGTCTGAGGAGTCACCCACATTCTAGCATAAAAGATCGCAAGAGTGGGACAATGACTGCTGCACGGTCATGGTTTAAAGTGGTTGTAAACCTTAAACATGACATATGAACAAAGCATATCCCTCTATAGTGTGTACTTGTCTCAATTAAAAGCACTAAGTTTCATTTCTGTCTGCTGCTGCATTCCTCTGCTACCAGCATGAGTCACTTCTGACATATTTTCCTGACACCAAGAGAAAAATGATGATGGGGGAGGGATCTCCAGTAGATTGACAGCCTTGGCTCTGTTCCTGTGAGCTGTGTGGAGGGGGGCGGGTGTTTATTTCCTCCAGTCAGCATTCAGAACTCTACTCACTGAGTTCTGTAGTGGGTAACTTAAGCTCTCCACCCCCTTTTTCCTGAACTCTCAGACAAGCTTTACAATTCTGGACTTTGAATGGATGTAGAGAAGATATGTCTGCAGATAAACAGGTACTGTATAACTTATGTAGGGGGGTTGTTTCAACTCTCTGTATCACCTGAGGCCAGTCACTTCACTGTGTATATGTAAGAGTTTACAGCTACTTACAGGTAGGTATTACTGTGTGTTAGAACTTTCATTTTGTGAGGTAGAAATTACCTAGGGGTAGGCAATGTTGATTTGTCCAATTCTGTCATTGTAGTGTGTACTACCTGTCTTGTCTCAATATTCCTAAACTAGCGTCTGTTCTGAAGAGGAAATGTATATAGTATTCCGCACTTACATAGTTAGTCTGGCTGAAAAAAGTCCATCCAGTTCAACCATTAAAGTAAATAGTTATAATCCTATACCCACAGTTGATCCAGAGGAAGGCAAAGAAAACCAGCAAAGTATGAACTAATTTGCTCCTGCATGTAAAAAATTCCTTCCTGATCCCCCCGAGAGGCAATCGGATATTCCCGGGATCAACTTTACCTATAAATGTAGTATCCAGTTATATTCTGTGTATCTAAGAAACAATCCAGGCCTTTTTTAAAGCAATCCACTGAGCTGGTCAGAACCAACACTTGCGGGAGTCTATTCCACATTTTCACAGCTCTCACTGTGAAGAAACCTTTCCGTGTTTGGAGATTACATTTCTTTTCCTTCAGACATAAAGAGTGCCCCCTTGTCCACTGTGATGGCCTCACGGAGAATAACTCTACACTGAGTTCACTATATGAACCACTGATGTATTTATACATGTTGATCATATCCCCCCTTAATCTCCTCTTCTCAAGAACTTGTTTAAACATCCTGTAGATTATTGTAGACATGCCCTGTCCATAGAGGTCTTGGACTCCCCCCACACTACAGGTAAAAGTGTTTATTGTTAGTGTACCCATGGTCCAGAGATTTTCTCACATTCTGGTGACCACACAGGAAGTGAGTTGAAATTTCTCTAGCTGGGACATTATTAGTAATGAATCTCTGACAAAGGTTCTAACCCTTCCACACACAAATGGAAAAAAAAATTTAGCTACAGTTCTACTTCAAGATTTGCATAGACTTTAGGAGATGTAGTGATTGAATGTTAACCTGCCAATACTCACATTCCCATTCACGTTCATATAAAGTGTTTGTGTACTATAATCACTTTTTATGCAGTATCAGTTAATTTCAATTAGAAATATAATAAAGGGAAAATAATACACATTTTGTTACTTTTTCTTCTTCATTAGAGAAGCCTGAAATTGTGACAACCACAACGGCCTTACCAGCTCCAGAATACCCCTATCCCAAGCCAGGATTTAATTATGATGACTGTAAGTACCATTTATGATTAAGGAACATGTAATTTGCTGTCACTAACATGGCAGGATCCATGGATTGGGTTGCTCTTCATAGATAACCTGTTATTTGCCAAGGATCATATGAATTCTTTGCATTCACGATAGAAGAGATTTGAAGGACAAGTTCACAAAGACACCTATTAAAAAATTGAAATAAACTTATGTGAATTGCTATTCCTGCCAAGACATTCATAATTATGTTAAATTAGTCTTGTGGTCTGGGCATCCATGCCAGACAGCAGAGCTAAGTGCTGAAACTCCACTGCAATTAAGCAGTACAGCGTGATTCCAGACACACTACAAGACAGCCGGTTGGACAGCCTTCACAGCACTACCTAGTTTAACAGCCCTAATGCAAAATAATACGTGCCATTAAGTTGCCTCACCCTGTCAGGCTTAGTTAGAAGCTATGTTACATAGTTACTCAGGTTGAAAAAAGACGCAAGTCCATCTGGTTCAATAAAAAAAAAAAAAAAGAAAGAAAACCTCCATATACAGAATTCTATACTCACAGTTATTCCAGAGGAAGACAAAAAACAATAATGCATGGTCTAATTTGCTCCAGCAGGGGAAGAGATATCTTCCTGATCCTCCAGGAAGCAATCTACTTATCTCTGGATCTTAAAATACAAAATTGCTACCACTCCCATGGGACTTTTTAGGCAAACGCACGTAACACGTAAAATCATGTTGTTCTTTATTGGTTTAAAGTTATAAAGTATATCCATAAAAATAAATATGGCTGATGCATTGTACAGCATCAGCACAGCAACATTGAGTTGTAGCAAAATTCAATTACTACCCAGTGTAGGTTTCTGTGAAGTACATTAGTTGTGTCAATCTGTCAGAATATGCTCTACAGCCAGTATGACCAGGGGCGGACTGACCATTTGGAAACTCGGGCAATCCCCGAGGGCCCGGGGTCAGTAGGGGGCCCCATGAGATGCCCCTGGTACCTTTTTTCATTGGCTTTTTTGAGTTTGGGCAAGGACACAGAGGCCCCATGATCCCCTATTGCCCGGGGGCCCCATGAGTTGTCAGTCCGCCCCTGAGGATGACCCAACACATTTTGATTTTTCTTTGTATATATTCTTCAAGGATAAGGGTATGGCAGTATTTCTGACGTATCAACCAAGACATCAGCCACTTTGCCCTTAGCACATCTAGGCCAATTGGCCCACCAAGGACCCCACAATGCACCTTGCAATCTCCCTATAAATAATGCAGGAGTCCTGTATTAATTACTAAGGAGAGGCTCCTGCATTATTTACCAGGGAGATTGCATGGTGCATTAAAGTGTTACTAAAACCACAGCAGTAAAATCAGTCTGTATATGCAGTAAAGCATGCTTGTTATACTGACTGTGGAACCTAAGGGGTAATCCTCTGCATTGTGTAAATAGGCTATTTGATCCTGTCTTCCCTGATCCTCCCCTTCTTTTACTGTCCCCAATCCATCTGCTGATAGTACAGAGCTCTAGGAGTCACTCTGCACCTGCTCAGTTTAGTGTGTACTACTAGAGTTTTTTTTTTAATGGAACACTTCACGAATTTGCATGTCATCCTTGCATAGGGGCCAATCTTCTCTGTATCATTCCAATTTTAGTATATGTGCTGCAGAAGCAAGCACTCTAGAGATTTTTTTTTCTTTGGAAGTGTGCATGTGATCAGCACAGGGTCAATCAGCACTGGGTCAGGGGTTATGTAGCCTCATAGGACAGTCAGAATAAAAATGAAAACTCCTCCTACAAGCTTTATCCAGTGATCAGCTGGACACTGGTAGAAGTTATAAGACTGCTATATAGTGCTGATGAAAAAAAGTATTTAGCAGTTTATATTTACTAACATGATTGTATTTCCATGTTGTGTGTACTGTCGGTTTAGTAACACTTTAAGGATATCCACGTGAAACAATTTCATCTACCCTAGCGATCTGTTACTGCAGTGCAATCCCTTGTGCACATATGTGGTATCCTCGGTGGGCCCCTTGGCGAGATAGAGGCAAAGGATTTCTCTTTTAAAATATTGGCTGATGTCTTGGTTAGTACACTGGAGATACAGGCATATCCTTGATATGACATGGTATGACATGACATGAGTGCCTACTCACATTATAATGTGCCCACCCTGGCAACCAAATTCTGCATCAAAAGGATTTGTCAATGCCACCCCCACCCGCTACCACATGCAAGATGCCGGAGCTCGTCACAGGTAGTGGAAGTGACATATCACTCCCTATGCATTTCGTCAATACAGTACATTGCAGGTGCTCCACAGTGGAGTTATTTGTCATCTATGTGGTTTGTAGAAATTTATTTATTTGAAAGGGATTTGAATGCACAATTTAGAGCACAGTTTTATAGACTATAACAAGCAAGTCTTTTTTTCTCTTTATGCATTTTTTTTATTATATATTATAGAGCAAGGAGAATGTGTTATATTTATTTATTGAAATAAGTGAGTATTATATATTTTTGTAGTGCTGCACTATTTGATTATATAATCTTTCCTAATAGCTAAGGTTCTGGGATTTTTACATGGACTACATGTCACTAGTAGCACTTTATGCAATAAGAGAGGAGACTGACTGAGAATTATTATTATTATGCAGGATTTATATAGCACCAACAGTTTGCTCAGCGCTTTACAAAATAACGGGAGACATACAGCAACAATACAGTTCAATACAAGAGGAATAGGAGGGCCCTGCTCCTTGGAGCTTACAATCTAAGAGGGAGAATCTTTGCATATTTGTATATTCAGTACAGCACTGCAAACAAATTTAGGCAGACCCAGTCAAAAGTACAACAAAACTCCTTGTTAAAAGCCTTCTTTAAAAACCTTTATATAAGAACTCATAGTGATAATACTAGTATTTTGGATGGCAAAAAAACCTTTTAATTTACTTTGTAATTAGTATGTAGAGCCGTTGCCCTCTCATCTATTTTATGGCTATTATTATGGAGTTCTTTCCACAGATACGGAATAAAACCATAAAATGAACCTAGCGGCATTTGCACTAAAGTATAGGGGTCAGAGAACAGAGTATTGTTTGATTAGACAGACGTAATAAAATGGTGTAACTGGGCTCCACACTAATGATGGTTTTCTCAGAAGTCATACATGTGATATCCACAAGTCTTCTGTTTATCTGTACAGATGATTATACTACATTCCTGAAGCCTCCAGAAGAAAAAGAAGAAGAAGAGTGGACAGATGAAGAGAAATACTCATCAAGTAATTATTAGTCATCTTAGTGTTCAAACATGTTGTAGACTTATGACCACAATGATCTTGTAGACTTTCAGGAGTTCTGGCCATGTCACCTCATCCCAACGGGTCTTCTTTATTTTGAATTATTTTAGTTCCCACAGTCCCAACTGCTACCAGTATTACAGATTCTCAGGATTACACTGACCTTACAGTATAACTATAGGCAAAACCTTTTTTTTTTTTTTCATTTTGGATAGAGTAAGGGAGGGATTTAACCCCTGTCAATTTATTTTTTGCCATTTGTGTGTCATTGAGGAGATTTACCTTCACTTCCTGTCCCATAGCCAAAACAGGAAGTGAGAGAAAATCCCTGCACATTAACCCCCCTGGCGGTATTCCCGAGTGTAGCTGGGGGTTAACTTTCAGTACCAGAAGCGATAACCCTGAGCTACACTTGGGATTACCCTGCAGCACTGCTCTGGGATCACTCCAGCACTTACCTTGTCCTGAGGTCAGGCGATGTCCCCCCTGCACCGTCCCCGGCCATGTCCTTTGGCCGATGCTGGCATCCGTCTTCCGGGTTCCGTTCCCTGCGAGCGTCAGGACGTACAGGGGGGCGGAACCGGCGGTAATTTCAAAAATGTAAAAATTTTCTATTCACTCAATACACTAAAATCTAAAAGTATTACATTACTGTATCAAACCATTTCACATACATTTTGTCCGTACTGCTTTGCCCTGTGCCCTGCCTGCATTTTTACTGTTCTTTCTGCCTGGAAACTGAGAAATGTCCATGGCGTCCAAAAAGTGCCCCTTTAGGTCAAAAGAAGTTTTAGACCAGCTAGAGAACAGCGATAGTAAATCAGAACCACTTGCAGAATTGAGTGATAATGATTCGTGGGGAAATTTGGCATCAGACACTGAAAACGATTCTGCGACTTTGCTCAGTGATGTGCGAACTTGGCGCTATATTTCAAATTTCAGTGTTTTTGGTTTGATTATATTATTGAATTACATTTTTTATTATAATATTATTATTTTTTTTATGATTATTTAATATATTATTTTTATTATACAGTATTTATAAAGCGCCAACAGTTTTCTCAGCACTGTACATTACAATGGGAGACAATACATGAGACAGTACAATAACAATACAATGCGATACACGAGGGGTTCGAGGGCCCTGCTCCTTGGAGTTTACAATCTAGGAATATAATATATTATAATTTATGATTTCGTGTTTCAAATTTGATCATACCCGGGATGTTTACTAGACTCTTGTTCGGACAGATTTCAGTAAGTAAGAATTACAGGCCTACAAATAAAAAAAACATATTTCCATTGAAAACAATGTACCGCTTTGAGCACAGAAATATGGACATAATCAAACCGCCAGGGAGGTTAAGGGAATTCTTTGGGGACCCAGTGTCCTCTCTATTGCTTTTCTGGGGACAACCCAAAATTTGGGGTTTCTTTAACATTCACTTTCGATGAAAGAGAAAGTAAACTTGGAGTTTGCATGTTCTCCCTGTGCCTGCATGTATTTCCACTGGGTATTCCGGTTTCTATCCACACTCCAAAGATGTGCTGGTAGGTTAATTGGCTGTCTAAGGTGAGTTAGGGACCTTAGATTGTACACCCCTTGAGGGTTAGGGACTGATGTGAATGTACAATATATATATATGTAAAGCACTGCATAACTTGACAGCGCTATATAAGTATCTACAATAAATAAATAAACCAGGAAAACTAAAAGCTGCTGGCAAATATAAAGTGAAGGCACCAAAAGGTTCTTTGCGCACATCTACAACAGCTTTTAGTATTTCCTGGCTTCTCTAAATGCGGGGCCATTCTGACACAGCTATTCTGACACAGCCATCCCACCCCACCCCACCCTCCCTACACTTAACATGGATTATCTATTTTTTCATATAGTAATTACTGAACATACCTTATCTAAGCATTTTTATGTCATATTTTAACGTCTATCTGCAGAGAAGCCTCAAAAACCAACCAGCAGCAAAGAGGAGCGAGAGAGGGAGGAGGAAGAAGAAAGGAAACGGAAAGGTGAGCTGAGAGGGAATGGGTCAGAGTTATGAGGATAGATGTGATGCTGTAAGTGATCTAATTTACTACTTTAGTCTTTGGCAAGAGGATCGTACTATCCTAGCTGTAGAGTGCTACATGAACTTTGTAGATCAAAAACCGCAACTCTAATTTTATGGCAATACCTTTAAAGGTCTATTTATCCAAAAGGTACCAAAAGAGCTTGATTAGCACATCAAGTTGAAATGTACGAAATTACAATTTGCATAAGCATTAGGGCCGGTTCACACTATAGAAACGCAGTCCAGATGCGTTCCGGGTGCGATTTTGCATGCACATTTTTTACGCATTTTTGGTGAATTTTTATGCATTTTAATAAGCGTTCCAGTGCGTTTTTTATGCATTCCAGTTCATTCCCCCCCCCCTCTCTCTTTTTCATCAATTTAAATAGGAACATGTGCATTCCAGTGCGGTTTTGGTGCATTCCGGTGCATTTTTTATGTGTACTACCGCGTTCCAGTACAATTCTGTGCAGAAAAAATGCAGCATGTTCTACTTTTTTTCTGCAATCAGAATGCACTGGAGCTGCAAGCACTGATGTGAACTATGACATTGAAAACCATATAACCTACTTTCTGTGCGGTTTGAATGCAGAAAAAAAGCAACTGAAATGCATGTAGTGTGAACTGGCCCTTAATGAATACAGCATCCATAAAGTAAGGCAGAATCATGGACCCACACAGGGGTCTCAAGTAACAACAATATTGTAGAAAGGTTGCCAGTATAATCCATTACAATAATGATAAGGTCACGTATACTGTCATGTAACCTAAACTTCATGGTGAACAATGCTCTGATGATCATACAACCCAGTCCCGAAAAAAAAAAAACCCACATTCCTTGAGTCAGCTGCGCAATGCTAAAGGTTTATTTATCAATATTTTCACTCAAGTTAACACCCAATTTACACATTTCCACTTAAGATTCAATTACAAATATTGTGAATCATGTGTACAACATATGTGACTCCTGGATGAAAACATTGATAAATGGACCCCTTAATATTTACTATAGTGACCACTGTGGCAAGCTTTCAAGGTGTAAGGGCTCATGTACACGGGGCGTTTGGTAAACTCTTCTGAACGATGGAAACTGACTGCTGGAAAATGTAGGTTAAAAAACGTCAATTTAGCCACGTTTGCATACCGTGTTTATGTGCGTGTGCATTTAGTAGCATTTTTTAAAAGATAACCTCAGGAGACCCTCCCAAATGCCCAGAATGCACTAAAAAATAGTAAATAATTAACTATTTCAGACATTTTGAGAGAAATAGAGAGAGCAGAAGCAGAGAGAGAGAGCAGTATGTGTTGAGATGACCTGTCTTTTCTGGTTGTATTCACTATGGATCCCATCATGAGCACAATGCGGCATGTTCTACCATTTTTTCCTTCACGCGAAACCTGGAACTGACTGCGCTGGTGTACTGGGTCCATTTGAATACATGGAAAAAGCTTTGCATGCATTTCTGATGATGAAAAAAGGCTCTGGACAGCATCTGGACATGGAACAGTTAAAAAACGCTTCTGAATGCAAACGCTTATAAACGCAGTTAACCATGTTTACAAGCATTTGGCGTTTGAAACGCTGGTAAAATCTACTCCTGAACACAAGTTTGGTGCATTGAAAAAAAGAATGTAAACTCAACTGCCTGTAAACGACTGTAAATCACTATTTGTACATGGACACATAGGAAAACATTAGGGAGAGTTCAGGGGCTGCTGAATAAACGCTGAACAGCTCCTGAACATCAGTTTAGGAGCTGCAGTGTACATGAGCCCTTGTGATAGCAGATTCCAAGATTTCGAGGCTGTCATTTATGGGCTGTCTGTTGGCTGAACAGCATTATATAGAGATAGCTGGCCTGGAAGTCAGCATACAAGGACCAGAAAACTGCCACTCAAGCAAAATGATACAAAACAAACCCTTGTCTTACCTTACACATAGCATACTACATATCATGTATTAAAAATATAGCTTTAAGCAGAGTTAAAGCATAATATACAAACCTTGGATAGAGTATGAGAAACTTTAGCACCCCTGTCAGAATGTTATTGCTTTATGCAGTGGTATATTTATTCCTTGTGCTGGCCTAGACAACACTAAAATCGGACACCTCCAACAGACCATAACCCCCCCCCCCCCCCCCGGCAACACCACCAGTTTCCGCCACCCTGAAAATTGCCGCCTTAGGCAAATGCCTTATTAGCCTCATGGTGAATACACCGCTGGCTGTATGCTTCCTTGCTTTGGACATTTATCCTCTCTTCCTGCCCTGGTGGCACTAACCACTGGAGCAAGAAATGTGAAAAGGACAGAACAGGAAATGTACCCAAAGAGGATACGGACAGTAATAACATTGGAAAAAACGTTCTAGCCTTTCCTTGATCTCATGACTAAAACAAATTTTGAGCTGTAAATGAAGTTATGGGGGCTGCCATTGCCAGCCTTCTAAGAATACCCTTCCCTGGCTTTCTCTGCCTTCAATACTTTTGGACTCACTCATCTAAAACATACAGTATATGCAGATTAAAAATAAATACATAGCTACATCGTTAGTCTGGCTGAAAAAAGACAAAAGTCCATCCAGTTCAACCATTAAAAAAAAAAAAGTTATAATCCTATACCCACAGTTGATCCAGAGGAAGGCAAAAAAAACCCAGCAAAGCATGATCCAATTTGCTCCTGCTGGGAAAAAAATTCCTTCCTGATCTCCCGAGAGGCAATCGGATATTCCCTGAATCAACGTTACCTATAAATGTTAGTATCCAGTTATATTCTGTGTATCTAAGAAACAATCCAGGCCTTTTTTAAAGCAATCCACTGAGCTGGCCAGAACCAACTCTTGAGGGAGTCTATTCCACATATTCACAGCTCTCACTGTGAAGAAACCTTTCTGTGTTTGGAGATTACATTTCTTTTCCTCCAGACGTAAAGAGTGCCCCCTTGTCCTCTGTGATGACCTCAGAGTGAATAGCTCTACACCGAGTTCGCTGTAAGAACCACTGATGTATTTATACATGTTGATCATATCCCCCCTTAATCTTCTCTTCTCAAGAGAGAATAAATTCAGTTCCTCTAATCTTTCCTCATAGCTGAGCTCCTCCATGCCTCTTATCAGTTTGGTTGCCCTTCTCTGTACTTTCTCCAGTTCCCCAATGTTCTTCTTGTGAATTGGTGCCCAAAACTGAACTGCATATTCCAGATGAGGTATTACTAATGATTTGTACAGGGGTAATATGATATCTCTCACTCTGGAGTCTATACCTCTTTTAATACAAGAGATGATTTTGCTCCAAGCTCCAAACCTCCATAATTGTTCCAGGTAAGTGGATAAGAAAATATTGAGGGCAAGCTAAATAACTTTTGACTTTACCTCTGACAGAGAAGAAGCCCCCTGATGAATGGGATTCAGAGGAGGTAGAAGAGGTCCCAAAGGAGAGGAAAAGTGAGTAGACATTTCTGTATTCTGTGGCTGTGTATATCAGTGAAGTTGCTCACTTATGAGGTCTATAGAGTTATATGGGATACATCTTAACCTTGTTCGCAGAGTGCCCACCCATTGGCATGGAGTCCCATCGGATAGAAGATGATCAGATTCTGGCCTCCTCTATGTTGCGCCATGGACTGCACGCTCAGAGAGGTCGACTTAATATGCAGGTATGGCTCAATGTCTGGTGAATGGCAGAGCCTGATTCAGTTCTTTTACTTTAACTGGCTTATTTGCCATCTAGTGTACAAAATATTTCACCATTCTTTGTTAAAGTGGAACTTCAAGTACATACAAGTTTATTCTTTTATTAGCCAAAGAATTTTTAACCTTGGCCAGCCGTTCTTGTGACACATGCCTCTGCTAGTGACTTCGGTTTATCATTACTGTTTCCTGTGTGAGCTCCCTGTTTATCGGACAATGGTTGTGATCAGGGGCGGACTGACAACTCATGGGGCCGCCGAGCAATAGGGGATCATGGGGCCCCTGTGTCCTCGCCCATACTCAAACCACACCCAAAAAAAAGCCTATGAAAACTACCAGGGGCATCTCATGGGGCCCCCTACTGACCCTGGGCCCTCGGGCAGTGCCCAAGTTCCCAAATGGTCAGTCCACCCCTGGTTGTGATTCATTTTCCAGTGATCGGGCTGGAGGTAGAGAGGTGACAAAAGAAGCAGAAAAACTGAATCAGGAAGTTAAGGAAACAAATCTGGCACCTGTTTGGTTTTGTGGTGTGCAAAAGGTGCATAAAGCGCAAGACAGACTGACCAAATTGCAAACTCTTTAGCAGGTAAAAACCATACACCTAGATATATTAAAAACTGGGTGTTTGGCTGTTTGCCCAAAGCCCAGTAAAGTGTAAAATGACAGAACTTTTGTGCTGTTGCTAGTTTTCCCAAGATAGAATTTAAATATTTATTTGATAAATTTTTGTAAAAACTGTCATTCATCAGAAGACATTGTTAAATTGAACAATGATCTTCATTTAATACATTTTGTGACTTTTTTTGCCTTGAAATTCATTGTGCCATAAACTAGGGGCTTTGTAAGCAGCGTGTGTAGACTTTATGCTGACTGCATATCAATTTGTAGTCTTTACATACAGTGGGGATCGAAAGTTTGGGCAACCCAGCTAAAAATTTGTATTAATGTGCATAAAGAAGCCAAGGAAAGATGGAAAAATCTCCAAAAGGCATCAAATTACAGATTAGACATTCTTATAATATGTCAACAAAAGTTAGATTTTTATTCCATCATTTACACTTTCAAAATAACAAAACAAAAAAATGGCGTCTGCAAAAGTTTGGGCACCCTGCAGAATTTATAGCATGCACTGCCCCCTTTGCAAAGCTGAGACCTGCCAGTGTCATGGATTGTTCTCAATCATCGTCTGGGAAGACCAAGTGATGTCAATCTCAAAGGTTTTAAATGCCCAGACTCATCTGACCTTGCCCCAACAATCAGCACCATGGGTTCTTCTAAGCAGTTGTCTAGAAAACTGAAACTGAAAATAGTTGACGCTCACAAAGCTGGACAAGGCTATAAGAAGATAGCAAAGCGTTTTCAGATGTCAATATCCTCTGTTCGGAATGTAATTAAGAAATGGCAGTCATCAGGAACAGTGGAAGTTAAAGCAACATCTGGAAGACCAAGAAAAAATATCAGACAGAACAGCTCGCAGGATTGTGAGAAAAACAATTCAAAACCCACGTTTGACTGCACGATCCCTCCAGAAAGATCTGGCAGACACTGGAGTTGTGGTACACTATTCCACTATAAAGAGATACTTGTACAAATATGGTCTTCATGGAAGAGTCATCAGAATCCTCACCACAAAAATCATCGTTTGAACTTTGCAAATGAACATATAGACCAGCCTGATGCATTTTGGAAACAAGTTCTGTGGACCGATGAGGTTAAAATGTAACTTTTTGGCTGGAATGAGCAAAGGTACGTTTGGAGAAGAAGGGGCACAGAATTGAATGAAAAGAACCTCTGTCCAACTGTTAATCATGGGGTTGGATCAATCATGCTTTGGGGTTGTGTTGCAGCCAGTGGCACAGGGAACATCTCACGAGTAGAAGGAAAAATGGATTCAATAAAATTTCAGCAAATTTTGGATGGTAACTTGATGCCATCTGTGAAAAAGCTGAAGTTAAAGAGAGGATGGCTACTACAAATGGATAATGATCCTAAACACACCTCGAAATCCACGGGGGATTACACCAAGAGGCGTAAACTGAAGGTTTTGCCATGGCCTTCACAATCTCCTGACCTCAACATAATTGAAAATCTATGGATAGACCTTAAAAGAGCAGTGCGTGACAGACAGCCCAGAAATCTCAAAGAACTTTAAGACTTTTGTAAGGAAGAATGGGCAAAGATACCTCAAACAAGAATTGAAAGACTCTTGGCTGGCTACAAAAAGCATTTACAAGCTGTGATACTTGCCAAAGGGGGCAGTACAAGATATTAACTCTGCAGGGTGCCCAAACTTTTGCAGACGCCATTTTTTTGTTTTCTGTTTTGAAAGTGTAAATGATAGAAATAAAATCTAACTTTTGTTGACATATTATAAGAATGTCTAATCTGTAATTTGATGCCTTTTGGAGATTTTTCCATCTTTCCTTGGCTTCTTTATGCACATTAATACAAATTTTTAGCTGGGGTGCCCAAACTTTCGATCCCCACTGTAAATGGCAAAAAACTATTACTATTTCCAGGTGAATTGATAGCCTGAAGCAAATAAGATAAATGATTTTGCAAAACTGTACAAACCCATAGCAAAATTGCTACAACATAGGCCTGAAATAATAAATGCCCACATGGAAGAAAAATATATTTGAAATATATTTTGAAAATATTCTTCCCAAATATATTGACATATATTTGAAATGCTAAAATTTTGGCCATATTCAGTATATTTCAATTAAAAAAAATTATATATATAATATATATATATATATATTATATATATACACTGCATGTTGAAATGCGTTTTTATTACAAAATATATGAAAAGTATTTTTAAAAATACAGTTCAAATATACTGTATATATCTTTAAAAATACAAATTTACATTTTTGGAATGCATTTACAAATATATGTAAAATTTCAATAAAGATATGTATACTGTATGTTGAAATGCGTTTTATTACAAAATATATGAAATGTATTTTCAAAAATACATTTTAAATATACTGTATGTCTTTAAAAATACAAATCTACATTTTTGGAATGCATCTACAAATATATGTAAAATTTCAATAAAGATATGTATACTGTATGTTGAAATGCGTTTTATTACAAAATATATGAAATGTATTTTCAAAAATACATTTTAAATATACTGTATGTCTTTAAAAATACAAATCTACATTTTTGGAATGCATTTACAAATATATGTAAAAATATGTTAAAATGATTTTTATATGTTAAAAAAAATCTGAAGAATATATTTAAAAAATATATTTTTAAAAATATATTTTTTAAAATATATTCTTCAGGTTTTTTTAACATATAAAAAAGTAATTTTAACATATATTTTTACATATATTTGTAAATGCATTACATAAATGTAGATTTGTATTTTGAAAGACATACAGTATATTTGAAATGTATTATTAAAAATATGTCATATGTTTTGTAATAAAAAACGCATTTCAACATACAGTGTGTGTATATATATATATATATATATATATATATATATATATATATATATATAAATTTAAATTTTTTTTTTAAATATATTGAATATGGCCAAAAGTGTAGCATTTCAAATATATGTCAATATATTTGGGAAGAATATTTTTAAAATATATTTCAAATATATTTTTCTTCCATATGGGTGTCTTGGTTTAAAAAGAGAACAATTATTTTTCTGATTATTCACTACTAGTATTACAATGACAAAATCTTATCAATTGAACCTCGTGTCAGTTACAGATTATTTCCTCCTTTTAACCAGCCTGTGGCTCCCTTCTAGGCAGGTACTAATGAAGATGACTTCTTTGATGGTGCTTGGTGTGCAGAAGATGACAGTCTGGTTCAGTGGTTAGAAGTGGACACGCGAAGAACCACATTATTCACTGGCATTATAACACAGGGCCGGGACTCTCTTATCCAGTGAGTACATGTCTTTGGTCTATATACAGATACAGAACATTGTCTTTATATATGGAGTGGTGTGCTGATGCTGAAACATTCATTCTCTATATCCTTTTCTCTGACAGTGATGACTTTGTGACCTCTTTCTATGTGGGCTTCAGTAACGACAGCCAGAACTGGGTTGTATACAGCAACGGATATGAAGAGATGGTGAGCATGTCAATTTTTTTACATCTTATACTGATATCCCTGCTATCTCTATTCATCAAGAAATGTCCTGCATCCAGTACTAGCAGCACCTTCAGTTCACAATCTTTTTTTTTTAAGTCCGCAAACATGCGAAAAACGAAAAACCCGTAAGTGAATCACAAAAAACGTGCAAGTGCGAAACACCACACAAAAAAGTGCACTTAGGGGTGTGCTTTGTCCTTCCCCCGAAGGGGATGGACCTCTACCCTGATCCCTCAGGGCACGAAGCTCCTGACAGGGACAAGGTTCCCATTTGGTCCACCTAGCCAAAAGGCTGGCGGACCACCGTTCCTTGTGGCCAGCCGAAGCCAGCCACTCAGTACTTGGCCAGGGGGTTCTCCCGAAGAGAAACCCCCTAGGGACAGGGGAAGAAGGAACCAAAAGGCCACACATCCTCCCCCTAGACTTCAAGGTAGGCCCGAGGACCCACACCCTCCATCCTGTGAGGAAATAAAAACACACACATAAGAGTGAAAGTAATAAAGAGAGAAATAATAAATTAAATAAATAAAAAGTGGTCGTGCCAAATGTGCACAGACAAGGCACTGAGGCCTGTAGTAAAAATTGCCCTGAACTTAGCCAGAAGGCCTGGTCCCGAGGGCACTGTGCAGAAAAAGTGTTTAAACACAGTGACCATGTGCCTTTTCACACGTTGGGGTCCCACACCCAGGTGTTACTAAGAGCACCCCTGAGGAGACCACACAGGGGGCACTGGTTTGCGGACTTTCTGCCTTCCCGGCTCCTGGCCAGACAATGTAGATCCGTTCAAATCAGGAGGAACTGGGCCCCTTCGGTCTTCCCGGGGGAATTACTCTCGGGCCCCATCAGCCTGTGGGCACCTCGATTTCTGTTCCAGCTGGTACTAGCCGTCACGACCCCCATCATTCCAGCAGGGGTACTATACAAACAGTCATCCCTGCAAAGCTAGAACGACCGTGGAGCACCCCTGCTGGACACTGATAAGAACAGATACTACACTTGATCTTAGCAAAAGGCCGAGTTCACAATCACTGCTGTTTTAATATCCCATTAGCCTGGAGATAGTCATCAGAGGTAGAACTGCAGCCAGGATTCTCATTGATGCACTGTTCACAGTTAGTGAAGGTGAAAAAAATATACAAAGCAATTTAAAAAAAATATGCATTCTCAAAAGTCTAAAACCTCAACTGATCAACAAAAAGGCAAAAAGACCTTAATTATAAAGCACAGTGCAGTTACAGTAGTTTAGCCTAACAAGGAAAAGAGTTTTTGCTGATTCTTGATTATTTTTTGAAATGCTGAGTCATCTAATACCACTTTCTGTGAAAGACTTTTACACATTTTCACAACTCTTACAGTAAAGAATCCTTTTGCATGTTGAGGTTAAACTTCTTTTTCTCCAGTTTCGAAGAGTGCTATTGTGTCTTTTTGTGTTCACCTTAAAGTAGAATTAAACCATCCTATTGATTACAGCCAAGGAAGCTGCCATGTTAGCCTCTGTTTGAGTTGCAGATGCCATGGTGCTACACATGTGGATAGTTATAACACCAGCCATTTGATGACTTGCCAGTTCAGAGCACAAGCAACTTTGACAGTTATCATTCGCAGCATACATAGAATGTAACAAGTTAGGCAAACGGGTAAATTGATGTGTTTAATTCCATTGTAAAGTGGAACTTTTAGTAACTTTACAGTCAGCGTACATTCATAACACCATCACAATATAATGGCAGACCCAATGGAAACGGGCAGACTCGATGGACCACTTGGTCTCTTTTTGCTACCCTAATTAAGGTCCACTGTTTGGAAATACTTTACTTACGTGGTGATCTGGAGGAGGATCCGATTGTCTGGCTTTCTGGGTTGTTTATAACAAAGCGCGATTGACCAGGTGATCTTAACAGGGGGTCATGCCTTTCGTATAAGTGGGTTGGTGACACAACTGTCCTTGGATTTCCTTTGTTTCATCACAGCCTCTGGGGACTTTTTGCTTTATTTTTGGATGGACTATTTTTTATGACACATTTTTCACTGTTTTTTTTTTTTTCACGAATTATTTGTCACTTTATTAAGCGCTGCACTTTATGTATATATTGTTTATTGCCTGGTATCAGGGTTTTTTGTGTTCAGCTGCTTTATGTTTACACTCTATTTTGATTATTATTTACTACAATTTTCATAAGCACATGTTTATATATATTTAATTTTGGTCTTTTTTCGGCTGTCACTTTTTTTTATAAAGCAACAGTTTCATTTTTCAGAAAAGCTGTACATTTTATCTTTATACCATTCGGTCCTGGAAGGAAATGCTGAGCATAATGCCAGAACAAAGATGGCTCCATTCTTCTGGAGAGAAAAGCAGATAAAGGCATTTTCAGAAGGATACATATTACATAGAAAACATGCACTTAAAGGATACGTTCACATTTAGTAACTAGTTACTAAAGTTATTAATACAGCATCCCCTCATCCCCAATGCCTCATTGTGACAGTGGGAGGGGGATCCTTTCCCCACAATTTCATAACAGCGCAGCTGTGCGGGGCTCTAGTCATACAGCTGCTTCATTCTTTCACACAGATCTGTGAATGAATGAACTACAAGTTCTGTCTGCCAGCATGGCAGACGGCTTGTAGTTCTCAATGAACTGCAAGGGCGCGGATGAACGCTCTCATAGTTTATTGACACTTCCTGCAATTCAGTAACTGTCTGCCCATATGGGAGGTACAGACAGACAGCTGTACCAAGTGTCTGCAGGAGCCTGACATTGCACCTGCAATCTTTTGATTAGGAGTGCAATGCTCTGCAAGCTCCTAAGAAAAAAAAATATAAATGCACTTTTTTTTTTTTACTTACAAAATGTGCATTTATTATTTTTAAAAAAAAGTGAACTTAGCCTTTAACATGAAAAATATTTCTGACACAAGGTCCTGTTAAATACCATCCCCATATTGTACATTGGTATCACCATCTTCCTTGGTATACACAGAGCTAAATAAATATACTGGCTTTCTCTTTTTTTACACCTTTTTGCAACCTACCAATTCTTTTGAAGTTTTACCAACCCTACTTTCTTTTTGCAGTATTTTGTAAATTAAAAGATTGAACTAAATGATGTTCTTCACTAATACCCAGATGTTTTAATATGAACATCTGTAATACGCTCAGCATTACTTGAGAGTACATGGTCCAACAGATAATCATTCCAAGTTAGAAGGGCAGCACATTGGCTAAATGGTTAGCACTTCTGCCTGGCAGTACTAAGGTCATTGGTTCAGATCCCAACCAGTTTGCATGCTCTCCCTATGTCTGCATGGGTTTCCTCCGGGTACTCTGGTTTTTCCTCCACACTCCAAAGACATGCTGGTAGGTTAATTGTATCCTGTCTAAATTGTCCCTAGTATGTGTATGTATGAATGTGAGTTAGGGACCTTAGATTGTACGCCCCTTGAGGGTTAGGGACTGATGTGAATGTAAATATATAAGTAAAGCACTGCGTAAATTGATGGTGCTATACAAGTACCTGTAATAAATAAAAATATCCTGTGGTGATGAGTTTATAAAATGTCTTCCCAGTTGTGGCCCCAGCACTGCCAATACACCAATACATTTCAAAGTAGTTAAAATCTCCTATTGTTAACACTATCCCAGCCTGTACAGCCCTTTCTTTCTGTTGAAGGAGCTGAGTCTACCTAGAATTTCTAGATACCATCGCTCCTTCAAGATAATCTTTTATACTCACATCTTTAGACAGATACCACCACCTTTTCTACTTACCTTATAATTCTGAAAAAAAAGAGCAATTTTGGACATGGATGTACAAAGGGGAAAAGAAGAAAGTGGGCATGCAAAAAATGAATGAATGTCTGGCCAAATATATGAATATACTGCAATGAACTTTGCAAGTGACAGAACATGATAGAGCATGATTGGATGTGAACCTATGAAAAGTACAGTGCCATGTTATTGGGCAAATGTTTTCTGCTGGAGCTCTTTTCACAGGATTGTGTTAGTGAGGCACACATAAAGGAACACAGTATGTAAAAGACTTCTACATGCACTGGAGGACAACCACTTTGTGCTCTAGTCTGTTATTCACAAGGGTGTAGATTTTTTCCACTAACAGCCAGTGATATAAACATAAATAATTGTTAGTGCTGTCTTGTCAGTGTCAGAATAATAATCATTGAGCAGCATTCCAATTTGCTTTGGATAAATCTACAAAATATCCGTCTACACGTTGTAACTGTGGTACACTTTAGAACAGTGATCTCCAAACTGCGGCCTGGGGGCAGGATGTGGCTCTCTGCTTGCTTTTATCCAGCCCTTGGGACATTATTCCCCAACTGTCAGAAACAATGGGGCATAGTTCCTGCCACTGACAATGGCACACTATTCCTCCCACTGACACCAACGACGGGGTACAATTCCTCCCACTGACACCAATGATGGGGCACTATTCCTCCCCCTGACACCAATGATGGGGCACTATTCCTCCCACTGACACCAACGATGAGGCACTGTTCCTCCCACTGACACCAACAATGGGACACTATTCCTCCCACTGACACCAACGATGGGGCACTATTCCTCCCACTGACACCAACGATGGGGCACTATTCCTCCCACTGACACCAACGATGGGGCACTATTCCTCCCACTGACACCAACGATGGGGCACTATTCCTCCCACTGACACCAACGATGGGGCACTATTCCTCCCCCTGACACCAACGATGGGGCACTATTCCTCCCACTGACACCAACAATGGGGCGCTATCCCTCCCACTGACACCAACGATGGGCGCTATTCCTCCCACTGACACCAACAATGAGGCGCTATTCCTCCCACTGACACCAACAATGGGGCGCTATTCCTCCCACTGACACCAACAATAGGGCACTATTCCTCCCACTGACACCAACGATGGGGCACAATTCCTCCCACTGACACAAACGATGGGGCACTATTCCTCCCACTGACACCAATGATGGGGCACTATTTCTCCCACTGACACCAACGATGGGGCACTATTCCTCCCACTGACATAAACGATGGGGCACTATTCCTTCCACTGACACCAACAATGGGGCACTATCCCTCCCACTGACACCAACGATGGGGCACTATTCCTCCCACTGACACCAACAATGAGGCACTATTCCTCCCACTGACACAATAACAGGGCACTATTCCTCCCACTGACACCAACAATGAGGCACTATTCCTCCCACTGACACCAACAATGGGGCACTATTCCTCCCACTGATACCAATAACGGGGCACTATTCCTCCCCTTAATACCAAAGATGGGGAATTGGTTACTCCCACTAGGACATTTTCTACTCCCACTGTCCACAGTCCGGCCCCATAAAGTTTGAAGGACAGTAAATTGGCCCTTTGATCAATATTTATCAAAAGCAAAAAAAAAAGTTATTCTGAAGGTTGTCTTTGTCATTGCAGATGTTCTTTGGAAATGTAGACAAGGACACACCAGTGCAGACAGATTTTCCTGAACCTGTGGCAGCAAGATTTATCCGTATCTACCCGCAGACATGGAACGGTAGTCTGTGCATGCGAATTGAGGTCTTGGGGTGCCCTATTTCAAGTAAGATCAACATACACAAATGGTTATACTGCATGCATACTACAGCAAAAATGTTTCTGTTTTCTTTATATATCATCTCTCTACAGCCCTTTACAGGAATCACTGAACCAGGGGCGGACTGACCATTTGAGCACTCGGGCGCTGCCTGAGGGCCCGGGGTCAGTAGGGGGCCCCATGAGATGCCCCTGGTACCTTTCATTGACTGTTTCATAGGCTTTTTTGGGTGTGGGCAAGGAAACAGGGGACCTATGATCCCCTACTGCCCGGGGGCCCCATGAGTTGTCAGTCCGCCACTGCACTGAACCTTTTACATCAGTCACAGTCCCTGATGGAACTTACTGTTTAATGTCCCTACCATGCAGTCATGTACATTTTGCATTTATATTTCTATGCAACTGTACATGAAAATGTACCAGTAATATGTGCGTCAGCTGGGACTCAATTCACTTTTAAATTGCTTGTGTTATTTGCTATAATGATCATTTTTTTTTAACCATGTGAATGGTATTTTCAGTTCTCACTGCAGAAAAAATAGTCATTATGACAGTCGTTATAGCTTAATGATTTGAGTTTGTTTCTGATCACCTATGTTCTCTTTCCTATCAGATGTGGTCAGCTACTATAGCCAAAATGAAGTGATAACCTCCTCAGATAACCTGGATTTCCGGCATCATAACTACAAAGATTTGAGACAGGTGAGCTAATCGCAGACTAAACCATGACGTTGTACTTTTTATTGCTTTTCTTCTGAACTACCAACCATGTTCATCCTTTTGCAGCTCATGAAGGTTGTAAACGAGGAGTGTCCAACCATTACCAGAATATACAATGTGGGAAAGACAGCTAAAGGTCTGAAGATCTATGCCATGGAGATCTCAGATAACCCAGGAGAACATGAGATAGGTGAGGAATTTTCTTCATCAGAGCCAGAGAATGGCAGGAGAATCGATATTGGTGTATACGTAGTTCCTCATACCTATCCCTTACTGACCTCAGCCCCTAATTTTATTGATATGCATGACAATATACAGGCAATTTAAACTAGTGATGTATTTCAACTGTAGTTTTGGCATTTTGCTAAACATGGCGGGGTGTGAATAATTGCAGCAATCTTTCCTCATAGATGAGGTCCTCTGTTACTCTTATCAGTTTGGTTGCCCTTCTCTGTATTCTCTCCAGCTCTCCAATATCCTTGTTTTTTTTGTTTTTGTGTGCTGCCTGTGTTCCCTTTAGGGAGATACAAGAGTACAATCCAAGCGAACAAGTTCCTGCATTAAAAATGGCTGTGTGTATAAGTGGGTGCTGCAGCGACCGTCGGCTGGAACCAAACAGAATCGGCAATGGAGAATGTCACCAGCATACCGAGGATCATCAATATGGGTCCAAAAGTTTTAATGAACGATCACATAGTTACAGCAAGGCAATGTTTCAGAGACTCACAGGACCCCTTCATCAGGTATGTGCCTGATGCCTGATGAAGGGGTCCTGTGAGACTCTGAAACGTTGCCTTGCTATAACTATGTGATCGTTCATTAAAACTTTTGGACCCATATTGATGATCCTCGGTGTGCTGGTGACATTCTCCCTTCCTGCTAGGGAGACTTCACCTCACTTCTTGTCCCTGTGAGGAGAGCGGTTGTCACAAGCACAGAAAGACACAGGTTGTGATATTAAAACGACAAGTTCTATCCCAGAAATTGGCACATCCAGGGCTTTATTCCAGGATCAAATGAAAGGACTGCTCATCAATCCAAGGCATTTCGGGGTCAAAACAACATTTCCTTCATCAGCTAAACCTCATTCACACGGCCGTTAAGGCCAGTGTATTCGCAGCCACTCACCCATGAGCCTGCCAAATCGGGGAATAACAGCTGTGCTGTGCAGCGGCTGCATTCCCAAACACTTACATGCTGCCTGCTTGCGAAAACTGACGACCCAACCCATATGGAAGAAAAATATAATTGAAAAAAATATATTTTAAAAATATTCTTTCCAAATATATTGACATATATTTGAAATGCTACAATTTTGGCCATATTCAAATGTGTTTTTATTACAAAATATATGAAAAAATATTTTTAAAAATACATTTCAAATATACTGTCTGTCTTTAAAAATACAAATCTACATTTTGGAATGCATTTACAAATATATGTAAAAATATATGTTAAAATTACTTTTTTATATGTTAAAAAAAAATCGGAAGAATATATTTAAAAAGTATATATTTATATATAAAAACACATTTCAACATGCAGTGTGTACCCATGTCAATTTTTTACTTTCTTATGTAAAAATAAAAAAAATAAAAAACAGCGCAAACATTTTTTAAATAAATAAATCACAAAACTAATGAAAAATATATGAAAAAATATATAAAGTAATGTCCAAATCAAAAGTGCAAAAAATAAAAGTCCCAATGCAATAAATGAAGATATGCTAAATCCAATGTGCTCCAAAGAAATAAAAAGTGCCGTATGCAGAAATCGTCAATGTATAAACACCATCCGTGATCACCAACATATACTGCACTCACCAAATATAGTGGACTCTCAGTGACTAAGAGTCAAATACGCTTTGTGGATATTATATAACCTGCCAATAGGGGTTCCACTGCCAGAAGAATGCTCCAATAGAAGGATTTTCCACACAATTCGATCAGTGTAAAAAAAAAAAAAAAATATAGTGTAATATTCTCAAAAGCAATTAAAACAACAAGAAGCGCCTTAGGTCAATTACTTATGTGTCTGTCACTGTCTAGCGAAACCACTGTCAGTAGGTCAGGAAATGAAGTTAGAGTGTTACTAAACCCACGACAGTAAAATCAGTCTGTATATGATATAAAGCATGCTTGTTATAGTCACTGTGGAACCTAAGGGTTAATCCTCCACAAAAAGGATGTTTGATGCTGTCTTTTCTGATCCTCCCCTTCTTTTACTGTCCCCAATCTATCTGCTGATAGAACAGAGCCTTGGGGCAAGCTGCACATGCTCAGTTTGGTGTTTATTGCTAGAGGGGTTTTTTTTTTTGCATGTGATCAGCACAGGGCAAATCAGCACTGTTCAGACAGAAGGTCAGGGGTCATGCAGCATCCTCATAGGACAATCAGGGGAGAATGAAAACTACCCCTACAAGCTTTAACCAGTTGCTCTGCTGGACACTGATAGAAGTTAAAACTGCTCTAACTGCTGATGAGAAAAGGTATTTAGCAGTTTATATTTACTAAAATAATTGCATTTTCCATGTTCTGTGTACTGTGGGAGACCAGATATTATGAATGCAGGGTCCTGGATTTAGTAACACTTTAAATCTCATAGAGCCCCAAATAGCAGTAAAACCCTGACAGCAGTTCTAATCAACCCCCACTCTGTCCGAAACTAGAAAACATATTGGCTTGACATGCTGTAACGGAACCGACCTAGACTGCGCTTGAGTACTTCCGTCAGAATACTGCTTCCCCGTCCGAACACCGACAACAGACACCACAGCCGACCATACAAGACTAGACAACACCAGATTTGAAGTAAACCAGGAGGTAGACTATTTGAACACATATACAAGATATATACACTCAGGGGACAATCCCCCTCCCTGCATAATGACACAGGGCAATCTACATTTAGTAACAAGAGACACACAGGTATTCAAACTTCACACCAGCAGACAGTCCTATCAGGAGGGAGGGCTGCTGGAGATACCCCCCCCCCACTAAGCTAATACACATAAACACATAAATCCCATGATAGTTTGCTCCCAAGCCAGACAGACAATAGAACTATGGGATGCAGCCACATTACATTGAACAATCAACAACCCCCCCCCCACCTATCTCCTAAACATGTCTACACATTCTGAGACAAAGCCCACACAATATTAGGACAGATCACCCTGTACCCCTAACTGGCACAGGGTGATTTACACATAAGAGAGATATGGGGAGCTGGGACAGGGGTCTCCCCACCTCTCCAAAGTGAGCTGGGCTTCCATGGGCCCCCCCACCCAAAGTGACTCCCATCACACAAACATTTTAGTAAAGAGCTACATACTCTAATGGGTATATTTTAAGAGGCCTAGAATGGAGACTCTGAATTATTTGAGGAGTCCCACTAAGGTCATTTAATAGTGCATGAGTAGAAGAATGCTGTGCTTGCCTCTCCTAGATGTCACGCAGGCAACATGTAACAGCCAGTATAATACTGTTTCTTTTACTACACTGGGATTTCTCAATAGTCTTTTAGTACTTCTGGCAATATAATGAGCTCATTATCACATATAAAAACGGCATATTCATCCTGACACATTACTTTTATGTTTTAAATTGTTTTTTTTAAAGCTCCAAGTTAAAATAAAAATGAACCCAGTTTGTTTTGAATAAGCAGTCATTAAAATGCACAGAATTAGCTTCAATCACTGCATCTGTTTTGGCATCAACCTCCTGTAATTCTCTGCACTGCAGTACATAGACTAGGAGACGAAGGAGCAGCCCTGTGAAGTCATGTGTCTTCATTTATGTGTTTATTGTTGGGCCATTGGGGTGGGTCCTTGCCTAAAATTTATGGAAACCCTTACCTTGTACAACAACCCATTCAGTTTAAAATAACAAATGAAAAGCAAAACGTTTGTGTATAGATATAAAAAAAATTATAAGTAAATTTGTTTTTCTATAAATGATCACATGACCTCTGTTCTCAGCTGCTTAGAGAGCTGGGGATGGAGACTGCAGTGAGGTGTCCACAGGAAATATGGAGAAAGCTGTACACTGGGAGGGAGGGGGGGTATCAGCACAAACCTGATCACTGGAGGACAGGCAGGCTGTTCCCCAGCACAGCCTGAAAACTGACCATACTGGGATGGATGTTCTCTCATGGCTTGTGTGGACGGTTTGAAATAGGAAAACAAGGGGACTGCCAGGATCAATAGGTATTTCAAGGAAGCAATTAAAAAAAAAATAGAATACTTTTTAAAACAAGTACATGGTACAGTGGGCGGCACAGTGGCTTAGTGGTTAGCACGTCTGCTGTGCAGTAAACGGGTCATGGGTTCGATTCCCAACCATGGTGCCTCCTGCATGGAGTTTACATGTTCATCCTGTGTTCGTGTGGGTTTCCTCCAGGTACTCCGGTTTCCTCCCACACTCCAAAGACATGCTGGTAGGTTAATTGGCTCCTGTATAAATTGTCATAGTTTCATCCCTGGCCATGCAGGATCTCCTACATGGTGGGGGTTGGGGAAAGACCTGGCAATCTACCCTGTAAAATAATTGCTAAGAGAATTCATGGAAAAAAGTCGCTTACGAGTGACGGTCCATGCAATCGCCAAGGGTCGGATACGACTGAATGGATAGATAAAGACATGGTACAGCAGGCACATATCAGAAATATGAAATGTTGGAATAACCCATGCTTTAAGGGCTCATGTACAAGGGACGTTTGGAAAACACTTCTGAACAATGGAAACTGACTGCTGGAAAACGTAGGTTAAAAAATGTCTGTTTAGCCACATTTGCAAACCGTCTTTATGCGCGTTTGCTTTTAAAAGCGTTTTTTAAAGATAACATCAGAAGATCTTCCGAAATGCCCAGAATGCACTGAAAAACAGTAAAAAAATAACTATTTCGGACATTTTGAGAGGAATAGAGAGAGCAGAAGCAGAGAGAGCAGTATGTGTTGAGATGACCTGTCTTTTCTGGTTGTATTCACTATGGATCCCATCATGAGCATAATGCAGCACATTCTATCATTTTTTCCTTCACGCAAAACCTGGAACTGACTGCACTGGTGTACCGGGTCCATTTGAATACATAAAAAACACTTTGCATGCATTTCTGATGATGACAAAAGGCTCTGGACAGCATTTGGATATGGAACTGTTAAAAAATGCTTCTAAACGCAAACACTTATAAATGCAGTTAGCCGCATTTACAAGCATTTGGAACACTGATAAAATTTACTCCTGAACGCAAGTTTGGTGCGTTCAAAAAAACGACTGTAAACTCAACTGCCTGTAAATGACAATGTGTACATGGACACATAGGAAAACATTAGGGAGAGTTCAGGGGCTGCTGAAAAAATGCAGAAAAGCTCCTGAACGTCAGTTTATCAGCTGCAGTGTACATGAGCCCTAACTGTAGTCTAGCTGCAGACATGGCTAATGCTGCCTGACAGGTATGCATGGGTCACAAGAGCATCTGAACAGAATTATAAACCTTTTCACAATTGACAGATATGTATTTAGACCATAAATGGCAATAAATAACAGAATGGATTGGCTTGTCCGTTCCAGAAGAACATCCTACTCAGCCAATGAGAATTTTGTCTAACTTCTGTTCACAGGAGAGCCGGAGTTTAGGTACACAGCTGGCCTTCATGGGAATGAAGTTTTGGGACGTGAATTATTACTTCTCCTAATGCAGTTTATGTGCAAAGAATATCGAGATGGCAATCCACGTATTATGACCCTCGTCCAGGAGACCAGGATTCATTTGATACCGTCATTGAACCCCGATGGCTATGAGATTGCCAATCCAATGGTGAGTGTAAACTAAGGCAGGCCATAGAATGAATCTTTTTTTTTTTTTTTTTTTTTTATTCAGCCAGTGGATTGAGTGAAAAAAAAAACCGAACTGATTCCCCCATCCACACATTCAATGGGGAAGGGAGGATCACTCTCGCTGAGCTATTGTATTCTGCGGACAGGGATCCTTCGCTGTCAACAAAACACAATTAGTGTTGCAGGCTATAGCCGGCAGCACTGATTGTTTGGGAAAAACCTGACAGGCTGGTTAAACACAAGTCAATCAATAGATCGACTTCTGTACAGCCTGCCCATACATGGTTGAAGATTTGGCCAGTCCCTGCTGAACCAGCTGCATTTTGATTCATGTATAGTCATCCATGTGTCTTCAAAGAGCTCTGCTCAATGTTTCGAGCTACAAACCTATGGCCATGTGAATTTTCTTGGTTTATTTTACATACTGCATTGTTTCTTTATTTCATTTTAAAACCTTTTTCAGCCTCATTTGCATACTGATAGTATTGTTAGGTAGTTCATTGTTAAAAAGCACCTCCTTCTGCTGTATCCTAATGGCCTGGCAACAAGCGGGGGGGGGGGGGGGTTAGTTTAAAACAGGCAGAAGAGCCCCCCAGTTTTACCACCCCTCAGCCACCCACCCAAAGCCTAACAATACAGCCAGACAAGGTTTTACACATGCCTCATTTGGTGTGTTTTTAGGCGTTTTATCGCTTCTTACATTGAACTCAATTAAAGCATCTCAGCCGTGGTCATATTCCTTCTAAAATCTGATCCGAATGCAGATCACTCTTCAGAGGGCACCACAAGTGTGCAAGAGGCCTAAAGGCGATGTGTTGACAGAAACACAGAAGCGGCTATGAGGTGAGATCAGCAGGGTTTCCTAACCCTAGGTTCACACCTAAGCATTTTCTGCAGCATTTTGCAGAAATGCACTACAGTCCATTTAAAATGATTTCCTATGGGACATGTTCACAGCTGCGCATTTTCACCCGGTGTGTTTTTTGGAAAGGGTCAGGGACTTTTTTGAATCCAAAAAGTCACATTTTTGGTTCTATAGAATTCAATGGAAACGCGTGTATTGCATTTTTGCTGTGTTTTTGCTATGTTTTGCATTTTAAATCTGCATAGCAACAAGAAAAGTAATAAAAAAAAAAAATTAAAAAAGAAAAGCAAAACGCATAAAAAAATGCAGCAAAAATGCAAAATGCAATGCAGAAACTGTGCAAACTCAACCTGCATAGGTATGGGCCTTAGCCCAAGACAATTCTTACTGATGTAGGCACATCTACAAAGAGTGAGTGAAGAGACTCTTGGTAGTCAAGGCAGTGGCATTGTTTTGCTTGGAAAGTAATCAATGTGTTCATATGGAAAGGGACAGAGAAGGGTGGTGTTCTGTACTCCAGCAGGTAGTGCTGACAACACTAGTTGGGATTTCAGTGCAGCAGAGGCAGTGTTGTCTCCTTACCACTTGGAGTCAAGGGCACACCAAATTTCTGGATCAACGGATTATTTTATTTGCAGCATAAAAAGACTAAACCTGAGGAATTGCGCATATATTCCAGAAATATGTTTTTTTCTATTGCTCAGACTTACAACTCTACAGTTGTATGTGTATCTGGGCCATTATTTATTCAACACTGATAAAGGATTGCTTAAAAACAGTTGAAAAATTATATGGATCAAAGTTTTATAAAATGTACAATAAAGACATATCAGATAATCATCAAAACATCATGTGTATTCTTCATGTATTATCCCTCCCACAGGGCTCCGAACTTGGTAACTGGGCACTGGGCCACTGGACAGAAGAAGGCTATGATATCTTTACCAATTTCCCGGACTTGAACACAGGATTCTGGGCAGCTGAGGACAGGAAGTGGGTTCCTTACAGAGTACCAAACAATAACTTGCCCATTCCAGAAAGTTTTTTGGCAGAGGATGCAACAGTGAGTATTTATGGATACTGGTATGTGATGGTGAAACTGTATAATTGCGTGCTCTAAAACAACAGTAACTGAAAAATATTTCTTGCTTAGGTGGCATTAGAGACTAAAGCCATTATTGCTTGGATGGAAAAAAATCCATTTGTCTTGGGAGCCAATTTACAAGGTGGAGAAAAGTTGGTCTCCTACCCCTATGACATGGCACGGGCGGTAAAAGAGGAAGAGCAGCCCAGGTATCGCCCTCATCAGCTTTACGTTGAAGATGAAGAGGAGGAAGAAGAAGAAGTGTCTGCAGTACATGGAGAGGATGACGAAGGAGTGTCCAAAACGACCGATCATGCTATTTTCCGGTGGCTTGCAATCTCTTATGCTTCCGCCCATCTAAACATGGGGGATATAGCCCGTGGAAGCTGCCATGCAGATGATTACACCAAGGGCATGGGCATTGCCAATGGAGCTAAATGGAGACCAGTGTCTGGCAGTAAGTTGTGGAAACTTTGTTATGAGTGGTGCAAAGGCTAACTGACAACTCATGGGGCAATAGGGGATCATGGGGCCCCTCTGTCCTTGCCCACACCCAGACCCAAAAAAGCCTATAAAAAGGTACCAGGGGCATTTCATGGGGCCCCCTACTGACCCCGTGCCCGAGTGCCCAAATGGTCAGTCCGCCCCTGAAAGGGTGTGATAATCACAAAACCACAATTGTATTTTGAAACTGCACCACTGTTGCAGTTCTAACATGGTACTATAGTAGAAATGTATAATTGCAGATCTTTCACAGAAAATACCAGGGTCACAGTGAATTTACAAGTTTCCTAGATAGCTATTTTGCAGAACTAAAGTCTGAAATACTTACTTCTGCTTGAATAGTCTGACACCCTCGCGGTCTCCTGCTGGCTCTGGCATCTTCTCCCTGGGTGCTGGTCTTCAGCCATCTTGACTGGCCGATGCGGAATTACATCACTCTTGCAGATCCGTGGGAAAGCAGTCATCTCAGCACACAGGCATGTGCCTGGATGTGAACGGAGCCACATAGGTGCAACTCAGTGTACATTCCACAAAAGACTGAGCAGGTATGTTTATTTTATTGCAGAAGAGACAATGGGGTGGATTTACTAAAACTGGAAAGTGAAAAATCTGATGCAGCTGTGCATAGAAACCAATCAGCTTCCAAGTTTTTTTGCAAAGCTTAATTGAAGTTAAGAGCTGATTGGCTACCGTGCACAACTGCATCAGATTTTGAACTCTCCAGTTTTATTAAAACAATCCCATTGCATATCCCTTCTGCAATAAAGAGCCCACCCCAAGTTTGCTTTAAACTTTATTTGTGCTTTAAAAAACAAACAAATGTTCTCAAAGTGCAAGCCTTAAGGCACAACTCCAGACAAAACTGTTTAACTTTGTTATGGAGAGAGCAAGAAAATGTTCTCCCAGTTTTTTTTAATTGTCATCTGTGTCATTATGGGGAAAAGTTCTTTCTCCAATAGAGGCACAAAAACACATTTTTGCAGAGTGAGGAATGGTTAAAACTTCTGACAATGTTTTAATTGGTCTCTGTGCTTTCCAATCCTGGTCACAATTGTACCTCCCATTTCTTGTATTGGTGTAGGGACAGGAATGGAGGGGATGTCTCCCTGATGAGTTCCGAGACATAACATTTAAATGGTTAAAAAGGAGAAGTTCACGTTCGGGAACATGTTACATGTTCTGCCCATTTTTAGGGAGGAACATGTTGCTTGCTCCTGCAGCGGCTTGGCAATCCAAGCCCTCTGTGTTACAGCAGAGCGGGGAAGAGATCCTCGTACCAGCTGTCACTTTTTGGGCCACATCATTCATTCACTGAGTTCTGGGAATTAATCAACTACAAGTAGTGAAATCCTTTGTGGATGTTGGCCTGTAGTTCTGCTGATCGCTGGTGCAAATCTTTGCAAACCCCCCCCCCCCCCCCCCCCAAAAAAAAACAGGAAATACACATTTTTTAACTTGCAAAAAAATGAGCATTTGTTGTTCTTTTTTCTAAAGGTAAGCTTATCCTTTAAGCTTTGGATACAGTATGAGGCAGACAGCAAGGTCTACTTTTTGGACATTCCTTACACAGACAAACTGATCATCTCAAATACTATTGCTACGATAGATGATTTCAGCACCCACTTGATTAAATGAAACCAAGGCTGGCCTTCTATAATGCTTCTTGTCTGGCTAGGAGTCTAAAGCAGCCCATACATTCAAGATGTTTGCCCATATATACATGGATTGAAATTCAGCTGGACTCTGCTGAACCATCTGAATTTTGATCCATGAATGGTCAGCTTAAACAACAAAATACTCCACTTCAATAGCAGAAAAAGTAATGCATGCAGTGGATCAGCATGACTACTGCTGAATTGTTTGCAAAAGACACAGGTCCTGGGGCTTCAACCCTGATCCTGGCACATTACCATTGTGGGAAATAGTCATTCTCTTTTCTACAATGTTATTCACCAACTGCGTCAGATGTTCATTGAATTTATTGCTCACTAAAGGATTCTAGGTAGTAACATTGTTAGATTGGCTGAAAAAAGACAAACGTTCATCCAGTTCAACCATTAAATAAAATAAAAAAAAATTATAATTCTACACTCACAGTTGATCCAGAGGAACACAAAAAAACCCAGCAAAGCATGGTCCAATTTGCTCCTGCAGGGGAATAATTTCCATCCTGATCCCCTGAGAGGCAATCTGATATTCCCCGGATCAACTTTACCTTTAAATGTTAGTATCCAATTATATTCTGTGTATCTAAGAAAGAATCCAGGCCTTTTTTTTTAAAGCAATCCACTGAGCTGGCCAGAACCAACTATTGAGGGAGTCTATTCCACATTTTGACAGCTCTTACTGTGAAGAAACCTTTCCGTGTTTGGAAATCACATTTCTTTTCCTCCAGATGTAAAGAGTGCCCCCTTGTCCTCTGTGATGACCTCAGGGTGAATAACTCTATCCTGAGTTCACTATATGAACCACTGATGTATTTATACATGTTGATCATATCCCCCCTTAATCTCTTCTCAAGAGAGAATAAATTCAGTTCCTCTATTCTTTCCTCATAGCTGAGCTCCTCCATGCCTCTTATCAGTTTGGTAGCCCTTCTCTATGCTTTCTCCAGTTCCCCAATGTTATTTTTGTGAATTGGTGCCCAAAACTGAACTGCATATTCCAGATGAGGTCTTACTAATGATTTGTACAGGGGTAATATGATATCTCTCTCTCTGGAGTCTATACCTCTTTTAATACAGGAGAGGATTTTGCTCACTTTAGAAACCGCAGCTTGGCATTGTATGCCATTATTAAGCTTGTGATCTACCAGAACTCCCAGATCCTTCTCCACCATTGATTCCCCCAGTTGTACTCCCCCTAGTATGTATGATGCATGCATATTCTTAGCCCCCAAGTGCATAACCTTACATTTATCAACATTAAACCTCATTTGCCACATAGTTGCCCAATTAAACAGTGCATTGAGGTCAGCTTGTAAATTGCAGATGACACCAAGCTGTGCAGTGGAATAACATCCCTACAGGATGTCTTCAAAGACTGAAATGGGATTTATAATCCCAGACCCTATATCGTTTATAAATAAACGATATATGCATTAGCTCAGTATATCCCAGGCTTCTGAGAAACACTGTGCTGTGAATTTAACTTGTTAGTCAAAGAAGCAGGAAAATGCCTTTTTATTTCTACATGGCTGGATCACAAAGCTCACATTGGTTAACATACTGTTGAAATATACACTCACTGGCCACTTTATTAGGTACACCTTGCTAGTACCGGGTTGAACTCCCTTTTGCCTTCCGAACTGCCATAATTCCTCATGGTGTAGATTCAACAAGGCGTGGGAAACATTCCTCAGAGATTTTGGTCCATATGACATGAGCTACTGTTGCCTTTCTATCATCGCAAACCAATCTGCCCATTCTTCTCTGACCTCAAGACATTTTCGTCCACACAACTGTCGCTTCACTGGATATTTTCTCTTTTTCAGACCATTCTCTGTAAACTCTAGAGATGGTTGTGCGTCAAAATCCCAGTAGATTAGTCATAGCAGTTTTTGAAATATCCAGACCAGCCTGTGCCAACCATGCCACGTTCAAAGTTACTTAAATACCCTTTCTTTCCCATTCTGATGCTTGGTTTGAACTTTAGCAAGTTGTCTTCACCACTTCTACATGCCTAAATGCATTGAGTTGCTGCCATGTGATTGGCTGATTAGCAATTTTGTGTACCGAGCAATTGAACACGTGTACCTAATAAAGTGGCCGGTGAGTGTATATGCATGATAGTGGGTGTAGTCAAACTTTATTGATCTGACTTGTTTCCCATGACACCAATTCTCTTTTTTAAAGGCATGAATGACTTCAGCTACCTGCATACAAACTGTCTAGAGCTCTCCATATATCTTGGCTGTGATAAGTTCCCACATGAGAGTGAGCTGGCTGAAGAGTGGGAGATCAACAAAGAAGCTCTTCTATCATTCATGGAGCAGGTTAGTGGTCTTCTCCAGCAACAACCTATCACTTGGTCTGTCTGTCGCCATAGAATTTCCTCAAAATACCATATTTTCAGGATTCCCTTAAAGGATAAGTCCACCTTTGGGAACATGTTCCACCTGTTTTTAGGGTGGAACATGTAACATTCTCCCATAACAGCAGCTGCCAAGCGCTGCCCACACAGATAATATGGAGAGAAGTCTCCCTGCACTATCTGTCAAATTTGAAACCAACCAGCGTGACCCTGCAGGGCTCCACATCATTCTTTCACAGACTTCTGTGAATGAACTGCAAGTCCCAGCAGCCGTAGTTTTCAAATACTACAGCGCTGTGGAGCGTCGTAGTAGTTCATTGAAGCTTCTTATCAGAATATCTGCTTGCTCGTACATCCCGTACAACAAGCAGATATTCTGACAGGTCTGCAGGAGACCTGCATTGCATCAGCGATCTACTGATCTCTGATGCAATGCTTTACAGGGTCCTTTGGACAAAAATAATAAGCGCACATTTTTTTACCTGCAAAAAAATGTGCATTTATTATTTTTGTCTAAAAGATGAATTTATCCTTTATCTAAAGCAATTTTTTTTTGTTTTGTTTGTTTTGGATAGGGAAATGCAAGAATTCCTGTAGAATTTTTAGTGCCGTGTATGTCCCCTCTGGGGAGATTCACAATATTCGTCCTGGTGACCATTGTCACAGAGATTAGGCTACATTCACACTAAGCTGAGCGTTTTCAAGTGTTTTTTTTTAGCAGACTTGCTAATATTCATTTCACTTAGACATTTTTGCTGTGGCCAATAGAAATTCCTTGAACTAGGAAGCAGTGTAGCTGTTCCACTGGAGCAGCAAGTTTTTTGCCGCTTCGTCACAGGCTCTGATGGTTCTTAGTCCTCATGCACACAGGACGTTTTGCAAACTCTCCTAGAAGTCTTTCCTCCTGGCAGCAGCGTTTTAGCAGAAAAAAAGCCTGATGCTTGTAAAAGTGTCTAAAGCTTTTACAAGCTTTTAGGCACATTTACAGGCGTCAAGAGTTTGGACGTTAATTTTTTCATCGGCCAGAATAATAATTTATTCTGGCTATTAAAATGAATAAACCCTCAAGTACTAAATGAACCTAGCGTTTGGGTGCATTTAGCAGCATCAATTGTTTTTTCTGCCAAAGCTCTTTTGCTCCTGGACGCACTGGCAGTGGTTTTTTTTTTTTTTTACTGCCTCTAAACTCTCCTGCCACTAAAAGCTTATGTATGTATAGACACATAGGATAACATGCAGGGGAGTCCAGAGGCAGAAAAAAAAATGCCTGATGCCCCTACAAGCGTCTGCAAAAACGTAAAAACATTCAGTGTGCATGAGGCCATAAAATGGAGATCCATGGGATCATAGATGAAGGGGTGGCCACGAATGAGAGCAATGAATGTCTCAGCTTCCAGAAGCAGAATCTCCTCCATTTTGATCACAAGATATGTGTTTATAAGGTGTGGAGTGATGCTAGAAAAGGGGAGAGAAGCTACTGTTTGAGCTGAAAACGCTTGAAAATAATGCTCATTTTTTGCCATTCAAGCATTTTCTATTTAAGTCTATGGGGACAAAAATGCTCAAATCTGCCTGAAAATTAGCACATGTACTTTTTTTGAGCAACAAGCACTCAAATGTGAACAGGGGCAATTGAAATGAATGGGATTTTCCTTATTGAGCATTTCTGAGTGTTGAGCTGAAAAACACTCAAGTGTGAACAGGGCCTAAAAGTGAGGGAAAATCTAAAATTTTGAGTGCCACCAGAACAGCAATAGTGTGGAAATATTCCAGGTGGAGACACTTTTTTTCAGTAACATCTGTGAAAAAGTGAATTCACTTTTGAAAGGTTTTTTTTTCACTTCCACTTGTGTCTCTGAAAAAGAATGTGAAGGGATATCTCTCCAATGGGACACCACAAACAAAGAAAAAAAAAAACAACAAAGCTCTGCACATTCCCGATCCTCTTCTTCTTGGGTCCCTTGACAGCGCTCCTGGCTCCTCCCCCTTGCCAGCAGGCTTGAGCCCCACTGGCTGTGTTGACAGTCGTCAATGGCTCCCACTGCTGTCTCTGAGCCAATGGGGCAGAAAGCCGGGACAGCACTGGATCAGGTATTAGTACTGAGGGGCTGCATAGTGAAGGTTTTTTACCTTCATGCTAGAATGCATAAATGTAAAAAACCTTCAGCCTTTACACTTTAAATCGACTTGGGGGTCCTGTATACAGCCTGCACCTAGAATTACTAATTTGTAGACAAATACAGGTAATGGTAAAGATCGGATGAGTTCACTTTAAGGAGCTAAACACATCTGCCATTAGAAAACAAAATTTTAAGAAACAATAGTTCATCATCAAAGCTTTCCTAAACTATGCCAAAGTAGGCTCATTCATTAGGGCAGTGTAGATAGAATGAATGATGTGAAAAGTATATTAATGCATAGTAGTCAGATTTCAGATGGCCAATCCCATTGTGGTAAAACTACTTTGCTTATTATAGGTAACTGCATTTCCAAGTTATTTCTAGTATTATGCTGCAGATACTATGCCTAAGGTTGGTGTTTTTCCACTATGTTCCACTAATGATTGCCTACAGCCCAGGATATACATCAGTAGCAACAGTTGTAGAAAATACTGATTAAGTGACCTGTGCAAGCTGGAAGAAGAGTTCTCCTTAAATAAAAAAAAACTTATCGACCTCTAGTGTAATGCTAGTGCAAAAAGCAAAGATGATGTTCGAGCCGCCCCATTCTATAGCAAGCAGTCCCATTTCTCTTACTGTAGGCAAATCAGTGAACAAATTATGACCATTTTTTTTATGGAGACATGTTTTGTGACTTGACTAAATAAGTGCAAACCACCTTCTACAGCAAGTTTGAGTACATGAGATCTTTTAGCAACCAAAAAAAATATATTCTCTAGAACAGTGTTTCTCAACCTTTTTTTCAGTCAAGGCACCCTTTAAAATTATGGAGTCTCGAGACACCCCTTTAAAATTATGGACAGTGTCGAGGCACCCTTTAAAATTATGGACTGTCTTGAGGCACCCCATTCTAAAATGTGAAAAACTATTCTAATAGTTTTATATAACGCCTCAACATCCACACATTAGATGTGATTTATTCTTCCAAAGCAAATGCACTTTTGCACACTGGTACTGGCTGGTATTCCAGTGTTTCTCTTCTCCCTCCCTTTTTTCTCCCTTTTCTCCATCACTGAGCTAATGTAACCTCAGTGCTGATGGAGAGGTGCAGGCGAGGGTCAAACAAGAATGCTGTGAAGATGACCAACGTCCCCCTTATCAAGTGATGATGTCATTGGTTGTCAGGACGCTGGCGGCTAGAAAGCCGTAATAGCGCACAATGAAAGCCTGTGGCTTTGTGTAACTAAAAGGCAGGCTTGTTCCACCCACTGACTAGTATACACGTTTTGGGCAATTTAGACATTTTGCCAAGGCACCCCTGATGAAACCTCAAGGCACTCTAGAAAGACTGCTCTAGAAGACAACAGATTGCCTTGCACTGTCTATAAGTATACTGATTTCTGCTTTACTCTAAAAGGTTCACCGCGGCATTAAAGGCATTGTAACAGATCGACACGGGGAACCGATTGCCAATGCTACCATCTCAGTGGCAGAAATAAACCATGATGTGACAACAGGTAAGGAGACACACAAGCTCATAGTAAATTATATTGTAACTTGTAAACCAGTGGTTTCCCAAAAGTGGATCATGCACCATATCTGGTACATACTTGGATGGATAAAGAACAAGATAAATCCTATGGAAGTGTACATTTCTGTCACACAGTGCAAATACTTCACCTTATACTGCTGGGTAAACAGAAAAAGAGTGATCTTTTCCATGTAAAGATATATACATCACTCTAGTGAATGCTCTCAGCTTGTAGTCTGGTGATTTGGTTCATACACTAGAAGCCTCTGTTACAGTGGCTACTTTGGAGAGAGCAGTGTTGGATGCTGTTACTATGCAAAGCATATTAATAATATTGCAGAATTGCATTTTTTCCCCCTTTTTTTCACATTAAGGAAACTGCTCGTCTCAAAGCTTTCCCAAATATATCCCAACATGCCTTCACCCTCTATAAATCTGCCTTCCACACCTACAACTCCTCCCTCCACGCTGCCAAACAAGCCTACTTCCTGACCCTCATCAAGACCCTCTCCTCCAATCCTTGCCGACTCTTCTCCACCTTTAACTCTCTGCTCTCTCCGACCCCACCTCCACCCAGCACCTCATTCACCGCCCTTGAGATTGCCAATCACTTCAAAAACAAGATTGACACAATTTGCAGGGACATCGCCGCTGCTCAAACTCCCTCCAAACCCGTCCCCCCTCACACAGCTACCCCCTCATCACCCCTCTCCCTCCGCCTCACCACTGCTCTGACCTCCACCCCACCTAACATTCCTCACACTGAAGCCCCCTCAACACTCCACACCTTCGACCTTACTACCATCGAGGAGGTCACCAAGGTCTTCTCTGATGCCCGCCTCACCACCTGCCCCCTCGACCCTATCCCCTCCCAACTCCTACGACCTCCCTCCCCCTCCATCCTACGCTCCCTCACCCAGATCTTTAATCTCTCCCTCTCTTCCGGCGCATTCCTCTCCTCTCTGAAGCACACGCGCACATCACTCCCATACTTAAAAAGCCCTCCCTGGACTCCAATGACCCGAACAACCTCAGACCCATCTCCCTGCTCCCATTCACATCCAAACTCCTCGAGCGCTTAGTCTACAATCACCTAAGCTCTCACCTCAACGACAACAACCTCCTCGATCCCCTACAGTCCGGCTTCCGTCCCCTACACTCAACTAAAACTGCCTTACTCAAACTCTCCAACGACCCTGGCTCTTGTCCTACCTATCACAACGCTCCTTCAGCGTTACCTATAACGCTACCACCTCCCCCTCACACCCCCTCTCTGTTGGGGTCCCTCAAGGCTCCGTCCTTGGGCCCCTTCTCTTCTCCATCTACACCTCCTCCCTTGGCCAGCTCATACACTCTCACGGCTTCAACTACCACCTCTATGCCGACAACACACAAACCTATCTCTCAACCCCTCGCCTCACCCCCTCAGTCTCCGCCTGAATCACAAACCTACTAAACGAGATATCAGATTGGATGTCGCTCTACTTCCTTAAACTGAACCTCTCCAAAACCGAGCTCCTAGTCTTCCCCCCAGCCCGCACACCACCCCCCATTGACTTCTCCATCACGTCCAACAATGCCACTATCAGGCCCGCCCCGCAGGCCAGAGAACTTGGTGTCATTCTGGACCCCAACCTATCCTTCCAGCTCCAAGTCCAATCACTAACAAACTCATGCAGACTCCACCTCCACAACATCGCCAAAATCCGCACGTTCCTAACCCCAGAAACCACTAAACAGCTCATCCACTCCCTCATCATATCACTACTGGACTACTGCAACTTCCTCCTCACTGGCCTGCCTCGCCACAGGCTATCCCCGCTTCAGTCGATCCTGAATACAGCAGCCAGACTCATTCACCTTACCAACTGCTCCGTTTCCGCCACCCCCCTCTGCCAATCCCTCCACTGACTTCCGATTGCACAACGGATCAAATTCAAAATTCTAACATTGATGTACAAAGCTGTCCGTCATACTGCCCCAAATTACATCACCGACCTAATATTCAAGTACCACCCAACACGCACACTCCGCTCCTCACAAGACCTCCTTCTCTCTAGTTTCCCTGGTCTCCTCCTCCCATGCACGCCTCCAGGATTTCTCCAGGGCGTCACCCATCCTCTGGAACACCCTACCGCAATCCAACAGACTATCATCTACTCTCCTCTCCTTTAAGCGCACCCAGAAAACCCACCTCTTCAGGGAAGCCTACCCCACCCCCTGCTAATTGCCGACCTCCTCCACTCCTCCTACCCACCCAATCCCCCACAGCTATCTCCTCCTGTACCACTATCCCCTCCCTCCTAGATTGTAAGCTCGAAGGAGCAGGGCCCTCGAACCCCTCGTGTATCACATTGTATTGTTATTGTACTGTCGCATGTTCTGTCTCCCTTTGTAATGTACAGCGCTGAGCGAACTGTTGGCACTTTATAAATACTGTATAATAATAATAATATAATATGACAATATTTTTATCCTTTGTACACAAAAAACTTCTTAAACAGAGTCAATATCAAAATGGATAATGGTGGGTATATGAGCGCTAGTAAAGACAATAATATAAGCAGCTGGCATAAAAGGTCAACCTCCAAAAAACATGTATATAAAAGAATGCAGCGCTCTACAATGACATAAGACTGATAAAGCAATAGATAAGAACATAAAACAATAAAATGCACTAAAATTGGCGCCAAGACAGAAATATAAATAGCGTCTAGGTATGACGCATAAGGTGCAGTAGTGGCAACCTAAGTAAAAACGTTGGATAAATCCAAAAAGTGCACAGTCATACAGAATGATGGTGATAATAAATGTGCTGTGGAGCGCAGCAGTATTAGTGCTAGTCACGTCTAGGTATGACGCATATGGTGCGTGAGTGACAACAAATATCCAATATATCAAGTAGGTGAAACTCTGTGCTTCAAATGGGTGTAGAAATGAGAATATATTGCATTTACCAGATAGGGCAATTTAAAGCGCATTTGAGTAACAGACCACTCCTAGTCATCATCATCCTAGGGGTAACCTCAGGCATACGTCTAAACATCAGCTGATCATCCACTGCTACTCTCCGGATTTCCAGGATAACTCCGCTCCAAGTGTGTATGTACCCAAAGTAAGCAATACCAGAATCCACCTTAATAGCTCATGAACAAATGAGCCAGAAAGAGAAGTTCTAGATAGTGCAGTATGTTTATTTAAGTGGTAAAACGATATTCACAGAAAGCACCGTTGCTATTGCTTTATCAGTCTTATGTCATTGTAGAGCGCTGCATTCTTTTATATAGAGTTCAATATCAAATAAAGGTAGGTACAAACTCCAAAACCTGCCAAAAACAGGGCACTAGAGGGAAATTAACCACATACACTGACATGTCTCCATTCTTAACAGTGGCTGGCGGGGGGACTACTGGCGTATCCTGAACCCTGGAGAGTATCGTGTAACAGCACGGGCTGAGGGTTACACCCAGAGCACCAAGATATGCAGTGTTGGCTATGACATGGGGGCAACCCACTGCAACTTTGTCCTGGCTCGCTCCAACTGGAAGAGAATCAAAGAGATCATTCAATGAAAGGCAAAGGACCTCTTCGCCTGGCGCCAGCTGGAGGTCGCAAGCTCACCCCTGCACAAAGACTCCGTCTTCAGCGCCGCCGTATGTGGCTGAATCGTCAACGCAACCTTACCACCACTCTTCCACCAACCACCACTCTTCCACCAACCACCACTCCTTTTGAACCAACCACCACTTTACCTCCGACCGATACCCCAACAACAATGCCACCCCCCGCCGGTTGGAGCCCCCTACTCCTTCAGAATCTCTGTGGGACACAGAAACTGAGACCTATACAGAAATCGTTACAGAGTTGGAGACAGAGACCTGGGAAGAGGATGCCACTACTCCTGTGGCTCCTTTCACCACAGCAGAGACTTATACTGTAAACTTTGGGGACTTCTAAGAAGGAAAAAATGAATGAAAATGGGCTACAGACTGATTTTTGTCATAAAATTATTCAAAATTCTACCCCTAAGGAGTCAACAGTTCCAGAAGGAGGAGGTAGGGGTGTTGTCTATAGCAACCAGATTCCAGCTGTCAGTTTTTCCAGTGCAGACCAGAAAATGAAAGGTGGATTCTGACTGGTTGCATTGGAAGACACCTATTATAAAGCACCCCTTTTCATGTGTATATAGCAATTGACCAAGGGTAGGTCCACCGTAACTCCAGAGAACAGTGATGTTGTTCTAAGAAGGGTCTTGCGGACTCACTTAATGCTTAAATAAACCCTTGCAGTGCTAGAGTTTCCATACATCAGGACATACTATATCCCCCTCTGGCAGAGAAGGTAAATATTCCATAGGAAAAATTTTTATATGCCTGTTAGATGTCTGGCTTAACACCCTGCAGGTCCTCCTGGCAACCGGCCACAGAGCACATTGCTGTCCAAGTATGTAAAATCTCATCAATTACCAATAAAAAATACATTTCTACAAATCTCACTGACGCCTGTGAAATGTTCAATAATCCTCCCATTGATGATATCCAGAGATGGGGCAGTGAATGGCACGTTTAACAATACAACAACACAACATAAAGACTTTTAGAGGCAGTTTTATTATCTTACTTCAACTCCTTTGTATAAAAATACAAAAGAAAAAAATGGTGCTTGGCAATCATGAGATCAGTGATACAATAAAGCCGATCTCAAAGCAAGAGGCTACATGATTGCTGAAATTAGGGGCTTGCTCATAACAGAAAGTAAATATCACTATCAGCTCTCTGTTATATACCACTGGGATACGTACACCACAGCCCACATTTAGCAGCCTATTTTAAATGTGGGTCATGGGTTGAAGTCTTCATTGCTTAAAGTGGTTGTAAACCCTTAGGTCTACCCTGTGAAGTGACTGGCCTCAGGTGATACACAGAGATGAAACAAACTCTCAGCTCTGAAAAGCAGGGGGTAGGGAGCCAAAGTTACACTCACTGAGGAGAGCTCTGAGAGGTGATTGGAGGGAAGTTCACACCCCCTTCATACAACACACAGGAACAGAGTTGAGGCTGTAAATCACAGGCTGTGCCCTTCCGTCACCAAATTTCTCTTGGTGTCATTAAAACGTTTCAGAAGTGACTCATGCTTATAGCAGAGGAACAAGGCAGCAGACAGAAATTACACTTAATGCTCTGGACTAAGACAAGCACACATTATAAAGGGATATGTTTGGTTCACATTTCATGCCTGAGGTTTACAACCACTTTAATGCAGTGGAGAGCTCAGTGATCAGAGAAGAAATAATCATGTGACTTTGACAGGTCCAACGACCAGACCCTCTTCTCAGCTTTTTTTTTTTTTTACTCATCTTGAAGTCAGCCTGCTAAGCACATTGCTTCGCTTTATAAATAACCAGTATCTTTTAGTAACCAGTTTTTATTAAGCAGCAGTATGGCCATATCACTACTTTATAACTAACTCAACCTGTAATTATATGTAAAATGATTTATGGCCATAGTGCCTAGCCAGGAACATGACTTCCTATATCCTGGTTTACAGCAGTAACTTGGTTGCTCTTTTCAGCATTATAATGATGTGAGCAGTCTCCAGGCAGAGGTGAAGTAAGCAACAAGTGTCATCTGCCTAGCTCTGCAATGTAGCATATGTTTGTTGATGACAAGACTAGTCAAACAGAATTACAAATTAATTAGCAGGTAAAGTGTTTAATGTGTATGCATTTTAACTACTTTAAACCATTGACTTGAAGAGAATACAAATGTGATATTTCAGTTGTGTGTTGTAAGCCATTAAAAAGCAACTTTTGAGAAAAACAGAGTTTAGGACAGCAAATATGCAATTTCTTCATAACACCCATTTGAATTTACAGTATATCCATTATTGTGATACCAATGTGGATACACAGATACAGTATGCTTGTCCAATATTTCTTTTTACTACAAAATGCACATATACAGTGAGGAACAGATGTATTTGAACACCCTGCAATTTTGCAAGTTCTCCCACTTAGAAATCATGGAGGGGTCTGAATGTCACATTGTAGGTGCATTCCCACTCTGAGAGAGAGAATTTAAAAATAAATTCAGGAAATCCCATTGTATGATTTTAAAAGAATTTATTTGTCTTGCACTGCTGAACATAAGTATTTGAACACCTAAGAAACAGCAAGAATTCTGGCTCTCAAAGACCTGTTACTGTGCCTTTAAAAAGTCCACCTCTACTCCACTCATTAATCTAACTTAGTAGCACCTGCCTGAGCTCTTTAAAGACACCTGTCCACCCCACAGTCAGTCAGACTCCAATTACTACCATGGGCAAGACCAAAGAGCTGTCAAAAGACACCAGAGACAAAACTGTGGACCTCCACAAGGCTGGAAAGGGCTATGGGGCAATTGCCAAGCAGCTTGGTGAAAATAGATCAACTGTTGGAGCAATTGTTAGAAAATGGAAGAGGCTAAAGACGACTGTCAGTCTCCCTCGGACTGGGGCTCCATGCAAGATCTCACCTCGTGGGGTATCACTGATGATAAGAAAGGTGAGGAATCAGCCCAGAACTACAAGGGAGGAGCTGGTCAATGACATGAAGAGAGCTGGGACCACAGTTTGAAAGGTCACTGTCACTAGAACACTACGCCTTCATGGTTTCAAATCATGCATTGCACGGAAGGTTCCACTTCTCAAGTCATCACATGTCCAGGCCCGTCTGAAGTTTGCCAATGACCATCTGGATGATCCAGAGGAAGCATGGGAGAAAGTCATGTGGTCAGATGAGACCAAAGTAGAACTTTTTGGTCAAAACTTCACTCGTCGTGTTTGGAGGAAAAAGAAGGATGAGTTGCATCCCAAGAACACCATCCCTAATGTGAAGCATGGGGGTGGTAACATCATGCTTTGGGGGTGCTTTTCTGCGAAGGGGACAGGACGACTGCACTGTATTAAGGAGAGGATGAATAGGGCCATTTATTGTGAGATTTTGAGCAACAACCTCCTTCCCTCAGTCAGAGCATTGAAGATGGGTCGTGGCTGGGTCTTCCAACATGGACAATGACCCAAAGCACACAGCCAGGATAACCAAGGAGTGGCTCCATAAGAAGCATATCAAGGTTCTGGAGTGGCTTAGCCAGTCTCCAGACCTAAATCCAATAGAACATCTTTGGAGGGAGCTGAAACTCCGTGTTGCTCAGCGACAGCCTCGAAACCTGACAGATCTAGAGGAGATCTGTGTGGAGGAGTGGGCCAAAATCCCTGTTGCAGTGTGTGCAAACCTGGTCAAGAACTACAGGAAACGTTTGACCTCTGTAATTGCAAACAAAGGCTTCTGTACCAAATATTAACACTGATTTTCTCAGGTGTTCAAATACTTATGTTCAGCAGTGCAAGACAAATACATTCTTTAAAAATCATACAATGTGATTTCCTGATTTTTTTTTAGAAATTCTGTCTCTCAGAGTGGGGAATGAACCTACAATGTGAATTTTAGACCCCTCCATGATTTCTAAGTGGAAAAACCTTACAAAATTGCAGGGTGTTCAAATACTTCTGTTCCTCACTGTACAAAGCAATACTAGGAAAGTGGTATTAGGTGTGTTTCACCTGTGCTAGCAGCACGAGAAAATGTGTATATGGACTAACACGGGGCTTAAAATTTCAAGTCCTGAGCTACTAGCCAGGCCTTAGAATTACTCGCCACCAACAAACAGAGGCACCTGTACACACACACACAGACATATACATACACACACACACACACACACACAGAAACATGTACACACACAGACACATGTACACACACACACACATGCAGACACATGTATACACACACAGGCACGTACAGACACGCATACACACAGATACATGTACATACACAGAAATACACACGCACAGACACATGTACATACATACATAGACACATGTACATACATACTCAGACACACACACACATGTACACACGCACACACACACGTACACACGCACATACACGTACATATACACACACACATGTACATACACACAGACACATGTACAATTGTACATGCATAAAAAGTTGCAGTACTTTGATGTTTACTCACAGATCCGGGTACTGCACTCTAGGGGGAGGCAGAGAGCACAGCACACACTCCTTGCTTTGCTTTCACTGCGCTCAGCTATTTAGCAGTCTGACGGCTCCCAGTGCCAATGACAGATCCAGCCTGAGCTCCGAGCCTGCTCAGCAAGACGGCCCTGGGGACACACTCGCCCCCACCATAATTTCCACTTGCTACTGGCGAGCAGAAGTTTCAAGCCCTGGACTAACATACAGGGCCAATAACACCCACAACGGTATGCAGAAAGAACTCAATGTGAACATGACATGAGCCAACAGTATATTTAGTACCCGCCTGCCCATTTAGAATGACACCAACTCTGCCTCATCCCTGTTTTGCTAGTCCTGCAGTGTATTACCAGAAAAAATTAGTAATAAAACTTGTCCCTTCACATACATGAGACTCCATGAGTAATATTATATCTCAGAAAACTACTGCAGTCCATCAAAGCAAAATACACAAATGCACAAGTTTTGCGTATCAGGAAAGCAAAAGAGAAGGCTTTTCTCCATGTAAAAGCTGAAATGGCTGTTGGCAACTGTAATTGCTTTTCTACTGCCTCTCCACAGAAGCCTATTAACCCAGCAGGAACAGAGAGTTTAAGGGTCCCCATGGCACCAATAAATTCTAGAAAATAGAATGGATGTATATAAAAAAAAAAGCAATCTTACAGGGTGGGAATTAACCTGGGATGTTGTGGAGGAATCAGGGATGGTTAATTACTGGTAAGAAAACTTCAAATGACCCATTTCATCCTCCACCACAGCCCATGATCACAGAAAAAATGGCGGTGGGGGAGGGGAGCGGACCTATACAAAATTTGTAAAACAGATCTGAAGTCAAAATTTTACATTAGGTCCCCTGACCAGTTACCACCCTGAAATACTAACCTAATCACTTGAGCAGTCTCTCTTCAGATCCAAACAGATAGTGCTGCTGTGATACTTACATTTGTTTGTCCTCATGTGGGGTAGAGGAAGCGATACAGCGCATTTGCCTCACACAGAAACTGTCTTTGGCAAAGAAGCGGAGGGATCACAGAGGCTGTGGAGGAATTGAGCCCAAAAAGAATTGGTATTTATTTACTCTCAATCTTTAAGCAAGTTGTAATGAGATACTCAGAAAAGATGTGCAATCTGCTATAAAACCTGGAACAGAAATACACTGAGGGGGTTTGGTAGGGTGGAAACTGTCCCAAGCAGGCTATCACATCATTTACTGTCTTAAAGAATGAATGGAAAAAAGGTATTTTACTAGACACATAGAAGGACTCTACAATTCATTTAAACTTTCATTTTATTTCCTGGGTATCTACTTAGTAGAATTGGACAGGTAAACTGATAAGCTCTAATCATTGTGGATATATTACACGGGAAGGGATGTTTTGAGCAGAGTATTCTAATGGTTACAACTCTTAAACCAACAGCTTGATGTTCTGGCTAACTTACATTTACTATATTCTATTTGTGTTCTGCTGGAAGTGTGAAGTAAAGAAACAAATGGTTCATTTCATTGCCTGGACATCAATGCATGTTTCACACTTTCTATTGAATTTACAGTCCTTCTTGCCAATTTCCTGACCTACCACAGTCCAAGAACTTTTGGTAATCACAGTCTTAACAGAAAAAATGTTGACAGACTGTCAGTTAAATGATTCATCATCTGCACCGAATCCAGAGAAGCTGATTGGCTGACATTGTAGAGTACGGAGGTTCACCAGGCAGGCTGTCTGTGTACTGCTGAAGTCTGGTATGGTGAGTAATAAAACACGTTGGCCCTCAGGACCTGTTGGGATTACAGAATTGATCAACACTCTGCATAGAACATAGAGGACATACACATCAAGTATTCTTACTCTGAGCAGGCTGTATGCAAAATATTGTACAATTAAAGCAGAACTTTTGCCCAAAGTTTCTCAACTTTTTTCCAGTCAGGGCGCCTTTGAAAATAATTTTCAGTCTAGACGAGGCACCCCAGTTAGGACTTGGTTCACATTACTGCATGTTGGGAAACGCATGCAAAATTGTTTGCATTCTCGACATGCACACAAACGCACTGATCTTTAGCAGATGCACAGGAATGTCATTAACTCTTATTAGTACCCGCATGCATTAGCAAATGCAGTGCGTTTTTGGTGTGGTGTGATTTAAAATAAAAAAAATAAAATAATGAATTGGGGACTAGGACCAGTTCACACCAGAACATGGTCCGCAAAAAGGCATGCTCTGTGTATGTTTCCCGCACTGCAGGTGATTGCACTGCCCTTGTGATCTGCATGCGAGTACCAATGCATTGTAAAAGTGTCACTAAACCCAAATCATAAAAAACTATCAATAAATGCTGTATTACATGCTGTTCATACTCAGTCACTATGGGATATTTTTTTTTTATGTATTCTGCAAAAAACCTGGCTGATCCTGCTGCTCTTTTTCGCCACCTTCTGTCCATGTCCCCAATTCAGCTAGGGATTCTGCAGCTGTAGTGGCAACTCTGCACATGCTGTTTTCAGTGAGTTTTTTGACAACCTTTTTCAACCAGGATGCCATGGCACCCCTTGAGAAAGGCTGCTCTAGCCACAGGTATCTTTACAAATTCATAAGGGGAACAATACGGTACCTCGTTAGGTGTATTATATTCTCAGTTTAGTCCTGTTTACTGTATATTTCATTGCTTTCTAACAAACCTTATACTACATCCAAAACTCTACTTCTGGAACAGGCAGTGAGGGGATCTGGTTGTTAACCTTCCCTTTCCACTTGTTTATTCACAAAACCTTGTGTTCTGTAAAGAGAATACAAGACTTTCTGTGAAAGGGAAAGAGGAGAGGCAGGTAGATGAAAATACGGATTCTGTGTCTGAAAGCCACAGCTCATCAACTTCCTCACCCCTTGTCTTGACAAGGGAGGAGGAGAGGGAGGGTAAATGTCTGGATCCTTTCCTTGTACAAGAGCAAAAGCTTTTAAAGCCAGCACCGGAAGTGGAGCGCTGGATGTAGTATCTGGTCGGTTGAAATGAAATATACAGTAAAGAGGACTGAGATGAGCATGTAAAACACCCGACAAGAGGCTACTTATTTTTCTTTTATGAAATTGTAAAGATACCTGAAGCTGCAGTTCTGCTTTAAAGATCTGGGTTTTATGCAGAAAACAATAGTAAATGGTATCAACAATTCAAAGATCCCTTACAATTTCAACACCCTACTGCTGGAATGCAGAGAACTACAAGGGCTTTGAAAAGTATATATGAGACCGCGGTGGCACACAGAAAGCAAACTACTTACCTTCAACTTCTTTACAGCTGAACTTGGGAGCACTTCCACAGAAATAAACATGGGGGCAGGTACGCAGGATAAAAGGGTCTGATGTGTAAAAAGGGTAACAACCTGCAGGAAAGGAGAGATGTTACGTTGCCAGACAGCCATCCTGGGTGAATTACAATGTATATTGTTGAAAAAACCTGAAAAATTACATTGTAAAAATATAATCAAGATTGCCTACTCCTATTTGCAAAGCAAGCAAACAAGCCAAAATATTACCCATTTAATGTGCTGGGGCACAGAGTCTTTCCCTACAATGACATTAGGGAATGCCAAAAGATAAAAAAAAAAAAACAGCCAAATTCCTGCAGACTTAAAAGAGAACTATAGCTAAAGCTCTTTTGGCTATACTTCTCCTATGGATCACAGGAGTGCAATTCGTTCTTCACTCCTTTGGCCTGTTTTCAGCCATTGGCTGATGTCACAGAGTCAGAGAGTGACAGAGCTGGAGAGTAACAGTCCCAGGTTCTCTGCAGCCTGAAGACAAAGAGCTGAGCGATCAGCGGTGATTGGTCACTCCGTTCTTGGTCTTAGAGCCAACAGGGGACATATGCAGCAGATGCAGGACCTATGCTGCATCCACGTAAGTATAATTTTTTTTTATTTTACTAAAACCCAAACGTCTCTTTTAATGTTTCCTTTATGTTACAACATAGTTATTATGGTAAATACCTATTAAAAACAGATTCAAAACTTTTAAGAAAAGAATTTATAAACGATAATTCCCTATAGTAAGCAGACATTCGTGCATATTTTAGATCTAGCTACTCCCAGTTTTTATTAAAGAGTTAGTTCACCTTTACAGAATAAAATGAAAAAATGTAAAGGTGAACTAACACTGAACACTCTAGCCCTCCTCCCCCCGCTGTACTCACCCCTGGGATGGCCAAGCTGTCAGCACTCCCACAGCTGCTGCAGCATTTCAGGGATTTGAAATTCCTGCTGTTCTAAGTGCAGAGCTACTGGAATGGACAAAATCGATCCTGATTGGCCAGCATGATCACAGTGAATTGATTAGGTCCCTCCCAGGAGTGGTGTATGGAGAAAACGAAGAGCGGGGATTTCAAATCCCTGGACTGCTGGACCAGATGCGGGGGTGCTAAAAGCTTAGCAACCCTAGAGGTAAGTACAGTGGGGACCAGGGCGGTGGGATGGTTATCCAACGTTTGTTTTTTCTATAAAGGTGAGCTAACCCTTTAAATTTTATGTCTTGGCAAAATAAAAACAAAAACATAATCAGTGCATCTCTGCAATACTTATATATTTTTACATGTTTTTTATCTTAAGAAAAAAAAAAAACTGTTGATCTGCCAGAAATCCAGTGAGCTCCTAACTTCCCGTTTCAGTTGACAGCACAGTGCCATTGCTGCATTGAAATCCCAAACAGTGTTGTCAGTCCTGTCCAGTTCTCCTGTGCTGGACTACAGAACACCCCCACCTCTCCTAATTCCCATAACATAAGAGGTTGTTAAAGTTTAAAGTTAAAAGCTTAGTGGATATCTTCCAGGATCAACAGATACTATTTTGTACCTTCAGTGCCTTTAAAAGGATAAAACATGACAAATGAGCATGTACTGGAGGGATGTACTGAATAGATTGTTTTTTTCATTTTCTTAGATATAAACTTACAAGATAAGTTCACCTTTCATAACATATTACATCCATATTTAGGCTGTAACATGTAGCATTTTATGATCAGACCAGTCCTCACTCCCCCTGCTTGGACAGCTAGCGGGGGATCTTCTCCCCCCTCGCTAGCTGTCACATTTAAAAAAAAAGCGTGGCCGTGCGGGTCATCGCCCACGTCATTCATTCACCGGTGTTCTGTGAATGAGAAACTACAAGTCCCAACAGCCTTTGCAGCTGTCGGCTTGTAGTTCTCAATGAACTACCACGGCACTGTGATAGTTCATTGAGTCTTCCTGTCAATATATCTGCTTGCCCATACATCCCATACGGGCAAGCAGATATACTGACAGATCTGCAAAAGACCTGCATTGCACCATCTGCTGATCTCCAGTGCAATGGATTACAGGCTCCCAAAACAAAAAATAATAAATGCACATTTTTTTACCTGCAAAAAAATATGCATTTATTATTTTTTGTATAAAGGTGAACTTATCCTATAAACTAGTCCAAAAAGTTACCTTGGTATCTCAAAGCATATTGCTATTACTGGATATAAACATATTACATTTGAACAATTGTATACTGGTGGTCCATATTAAAATTGAAAGGCCATTTACACTGGTGGCAGCCATTGCTGCCCCTCTGGAAAGCAACTTGTGGTGGATCGCTTCTCAGAGGGCGTTTGACAGGCTGTTGGGAGGCGATATGTGGTCTTCTCACCACCTGTTCTAACCCTGAAAAGCCCGCACTACTGTGCAACAAAAGTGTGCATTGCATGGGGCTACAGGTGGTGTTCAGTGGCAATACTGCCTGCCAAATGTAATGGGGGGTCGAATTTTTATTTTTTGGCCACAGCATTCGTACAACCCTGTCTAGCTGCCTCTGCAGATTAAGCGGACAGTCAGGGGGCTCAACCGCCTATTTTTACTGCCCCCTTCCCTGGCCACACATGTGAACGAGCCCTAAATGTGATTAATTTTGCCTTCTAGGTGACGATGTGAAAACATGCTATGAACATGCTATGCTGTGAAAAGGGTAATCTAATGCCCATAATGCTGACCACCATGCAAAAGTTTTAAAATCAGAAGGACTTGGGTCGATGGGCTTTTGTTTGCTTCAAATGGGTTTTGCATTCCAATACAAGTCAATGGGAATGAAAAACCTGCTTGATGTAAGTCAAATGCAGGTCAGAAAGGTCATCAACTGCAGGTCAAATCACCTGTCATGAATTCTGAATGATCTCAGAAGCATATGAAACTCATTCCATTAACATAAACCCAAAGCCAGTCGACACAGGTGACAAATGACTGAAAGTGACAAAAAGACATGACGCAGGACTGTGACTCGCAATAAGAAAGCAACTGTTGCAAATGTGACTTGTGTTTCAATTTTTTTGTCTAACTCCTGCATATAAATCAATACATTTACTAACCGATGCACATATTTGGTTTCTAATTGTAAGCAGACAGTAGTGAATGCACAGTGCACTCTTACCCAGTGTGTCTGGGGCAGTAGGACACAGGTGCCCTACTTGTAATGTCCACTCCAGGATCTCCAGGTAATCCTGCATACTGCTGTACTTGAATATGTCAGTAATGTTTTGTCCAGAGGAACCCAGAAACCTGTGGAGATAAGCAGTCACATTCCACATTCTTTCCGGTGTATTTAGTCTGTCCAATATAGGAAAGGTAGGGAGGAATACCTAATTCCATCAATGTCTGCTTCATACGGGTTGGTTACCAGCTGAAGGGTAGAATACGGAGCAGCCTGAGGAAACATGCATCGGTGGAGGGGCTGCTGAGGCAGGACATAGTTTGTTGGATCAAAAGCACCAGGCATGACATCTACAAACACAGAGCCCTGCACATAGGAAAGAATTGAGATTACACAGGACACACACAATTCTAACACCACTTCCAGTAGAAAAAGCAAACATCCAATCATATACAGGGTAATTAAAAAAAAAAAAAACAAATAAAAAAAAAAAAACCAAAAAACACAACAACAACGCTTACACTGAGCTGGAGAAGGATCTCATCAAGCATCTTTACAGCCTCCACACTGGCTGCTTGAGTCTTCTTGCTAAGATATTTGGCCTAAAAAAAATATAAACACAGCACACCATGCAGTTGATATAAATATATATAAACTGTTTTACCTGCCAAACAATCTATAATCTTAGTCAGTCTGTGATCTAGGAACCCCTGTCTAACACCATAGCTAGGTTCTTGACCTTACTTTTAAACCAAAAGCAATTACTTATTAGATTGCAGCTTACCAATGATTAGATGTGATGGCTGCATTCATTTTCTTTTTATTCTTTCTTTCTTCTATTTTCATCTGGTTATCCAGCCAGTAACTCAGCTGTTTTTCAAAAGCACAAGCTCTCTAATATGTGTCAGATTACACATGGATGAGGCAAACCAATAATTATTGGCAGGAGTGCTTACAATGATAAACTGTTTTTATTATAAAGTGTGAACTGAAGTTTGGCTTCAATTTGTTTGTGTATTTAAATCTGCCAAAACATTTAACAGTACATTCCAAAAAACAAAGGTATACCGCTCAGGCAAACAATCCAGATCAATCCACAACAGGTGCAGGCTCTGGCTTGCCACCACACACACGATGCAATAGGAAGAAGGGTCAGCAGCACACTGGAGGATAGATGAATATAGTGTGTATTTATTAATCCATGTGTGCCCTATGGATTAATAAATACACACTATATTCATCTATCCTCCGGTGTGCGGCAGACCCTTCTTCCTACTACACTCCCCCCAGACTGACAATGTTGCTGTCTGTTGTGCCTCCTGTGCTCATTTATCCAGAGTGGTGTCTCACTAATACCGGAAGTGTGATACTGGCCAAATCACCAGGTGAAAACAGGGAAAAAAGCCAGAGAAGAAAAGAAAACCACATTTCATGAATGGTAAGCTGCGATATATTACATTTTTGGTTCTGGGTTTAATACCACTCTAAGCAGTACAGCTTGATCACCAATCTGCCCTCAGCCAGTAGGCTGACAATGAAAGAGAAACGGCACACAAATGAGATAATCATTCTGCGCTTTCTCCTCTAAAGCAAGTTTAAACTTGAATAGAAGACAAATATGGCCAAAGCATTTTTGGCCATACATCTTTTGTGGGTCACTTTTACTCTCCCATGACCCAGAGTCAGTTGATAGCGGGCAATATTGGTAGGATCTACCCACCTGCCTGATTGACAGCTGGCTCCCATCCCATGCGCTGTGCTCCAGTGAGCGCTGGAGGAACAGAGTAGAGAGCAGTGACTGGCATTCCCTGCTGTCCACTCTGAGCAGACCAAGAACAGAGTGATTAGCAGTCATGTGATCGCCTATTTCTTGGCCTTAGAGCGAACGTGGGAAACGTGGGAAATTTTATTTCACAAACCCATAATTCTCCTTTAACAGCATGGTGTAAAGTAGTAGAGCTCTGAATCGCTAAGGCCCCATGTACACGGGACACTTCTGAATGATGGAAACTGACTGCTGGAAAACGTAGGTTAAACAACGTCTATTTAGCTGCGTTTGCATAACGCGTTTATGTGCATTTGCGTTTAGAAGCGTTTTTTAAAGATAAGCACAGGAGAACCTCCCAAATGTCCAGGATGCACTGAAACGTGGTAAATTATTAACTATTTCAGAGAAATACAGAGAGTAGAAGCAGAGACAGCAGTATGTGTTGAAATTAGCTTAGGCGTGAGTTGCTCATTAACATTTCTTTTGTTTCCAAGGGTGGGAAAGGTGTCTGGTGGATTGAGTCATTAAGGTCACCTGGCAGGGGGTCTTCATGAGGAATTTGAGGTGTGAATGGTCATTAACATATCTTTTGTTTCCAAGGGGGTGGAGAGGTCTGAGGTGTGAATTGGTCATTACAATGTGTGACAAACTTGGTAGGAACATCCTGTGTTCAGTGTTTTGTCCATCTGAGTACCTTGAAAATGCTTTGCATGCATTTTTTCATGATGAAAAAAGGCTCTGGACAGCATCGGGAACTGGAAGAGTTAAAAAAAAATTTCAGACGCAAACGCTTATAAACACAATTTGCAGCGTTTACAAGCGTTTTGCGTTTGAAACGCTGATAAAATTGACTGAACGCAAGTTTTCTGTGTTCAAAAAAAACGACTTTAAACTCAAATGACTGTAAAACGAAGACGTGTACATGGACACATAGGAAAACATTAGGGTGACTTCAGGGGCTGCTGAAAAAATGCTGCAGCTCCTAAACGTGAGTTTATCAGCTGCAGTGTACATGAGCCCTTACAGTTTTGTTCCTTCCTCTCTAAGACTGAGTATTGTTGTGCAGCTTATTTCAGGAGGTCACTATCAAAATCAGGTATTTTAATAGTTCCTTGTTAACTGGATTGAATGGTGTATTTCTGTTTAAAAAAATATGTATTAAAAGGACATAAATGATTTATAAAAATGTATTTTATGTGTATTCCAACCAGGACACTACCTGCATGTAGTTTAAATTTTCACCTGGGTTTCCCCAAGGTACTCTGGTTTCCTCCCACACTCCAAACACATGCTGGAAGGTTGGCCCTAGTATGTGTATGTATGCATATGTGGCAGGGACCTTAGATTGTAAGCTACTTCAGGGAAAGGACCGATATGAATGTACAATATGCAACGCGCTGCGTAAATTGTCGGTGCTATATAAATACCTAAATAATAATATTCCAATCACAACTCTCATCATTAGGTACCTTGTTCAAGGAGTCTTTGTTCTGTGTGTTCTCACTGAGCAGATTACCAGCCAGTATGACGCGGGATATCTTTGCTGCACAGCCCTGCTCCTCCTCTGCTCCAGCCTGTCCAGTCACCAAGTCTAAGAGCAGCTGTAATCCCAACAAGCTATCCCCACTGGCTCCGCCCAGTCCCAAGCAAGATGTCAGCAGCACATACCTGTAAGTAAAGGGGCCAAGAAGGAATAATCTATAAACTTTCAGAGAAAACTCAGTGACAAACATGACAATCTGCAGATAATGGCCAATGCCAACTTTACATAATTCAAATCTGTGCCAAGATGTAGGCCCATCAATAGCAGCTTGTTCATACGCTAAGTAAACATTTACCTAGATATGAAAAATGTGCAAAATGTGCAAACAGGCAGGCTTTTTACTGCAGAGGAGACACACTATAGGATAGATAAATAGAGCAGTAAATGTGGTATACACCAAACATTCAATCTAGGTGTATCTTCCTTCTGCATGTGTTTTAAGTTACTGTAATTAATTCACCTGCAGTGAATGTTTGGTGAATGTCACTGCTTTATAAACATGACCTTATGTCTATTCTGTAATTAAGGATTCTTACCTGCGTTTACAAACTTTTTGACAATATAAAACGTTAAAGAGGTATAGACTCCAGAGAGAGAGAGAGAGAGAGGGAGAGAGAGAGATCATATTACCCCTGTACAAATCATTAGTAATACCTCATCTGGAATATGCAGTTCAATTTTAGGCACCAATTTACAAAGAGAACATTGGGGAACTGGAGAAAGTGCAAAGAAGGACAACCAAACTGATAAGAGGCATGGAGGAGCTCAGCTATGAGGAAAGATTAGAGAAATTGAATTTATTCTCTCTTGAGAAGAGAAGATTAACCGCATGCCGCCCAGCCACTGTACATGTAGGGCGGCACTGGTAGGCAAAACGACATTTTAAAACAGACCCCGCAAAACAGGTAGGGGGCGCGCGTGAGGCGCACGCCCGCCCTGCCTGTCCCGCGGGTGTCCGCAGTGGGTGTCAGCCGCCGGGTCACGGCTGGTTTTTACCAGCCGTTTTCCCGCGATGAGCTGTCATCACTGTCACAGAGCAGAGCTGCATTGTTTACACACAGCCTGCTCTGTGACAGTTCCCCGACAAGCTGAAGAGGGAGAGAAGAATTTCTCTCCCTCGATCAGCTCCCCCCTCTCTCCCCCCCGTCCAGCACACACCCCCGCCCCTTAGTAAAACACTCCCCTTACACAGTAAACTCCTAAAAATGTTAACCCCTTCCTCCCGAGTGACATTAGTACAGTTTCAGTGTTTTTTTTTCACTGATCACTGTATTGGTGTCACTGGGGATGTCAGTGACCCCAAGTCAGTTCCCCCCCAGTGTCAAAATGTCCGCCGCAGTCCCGCCATAAGTCGCTGGTCTCTGCCATAAGTCCCTGATCGCTGCCATAATTCGCTGATCGGCGCCATTATTAGTATAAATAAAAATTTAAAAACCCAGTATCTTTCCCGCCATTTGTAAACGCTATAACTTTCACGTAAACCAATTAATTTACACGTATTGGGATTTTTTTTAGCAAAGACATGGAACAGAATGCATTTTGGCAGAAATTTATGACTAAATTTGATTTTTGCATTTTTATTTTACTGGACATGTTTTATAGCAAATAGTCCAAAATATTGTTTTTTTTTTTCCTAAAAATTGTCAGCCTTTTTTTCTTATAGCGCAAAAAATAAAAACCGCACAGGCGATCAAATACCACACGAAAGAAAGCTCAATTTGTGGGAAAAAAAAAGGATGTAAATTTCATTTATGTACCGTATTGCATGACCGCGCAATTGTCCGTTAAACTAGCGCAGCGCTGTATAGCAGAAAAATGGCGTAAATTGCAGTATTTATACCATAGTTTGTAGACGCTATAACTTCCACGCAAAGCAATCAATATACACTTATTGGGATTTTTTTTTACCAAAAACATGTAGCAGAATACATTTTGGCCTAAATTTATAACCAACTTTGAGTTTACTATATATTTTTTATTGCTGAAAGTAAAAAATATTGGTTTTCGTCAAAATTTTTGGCCTTTTTTTGTTTATAGCGTGAAAAATAAAAAGCGCACAGGTGATCAAATTACACCGAAAGAAAGCTCTATTTGTGTGAAAAAAAGGACGTAAATTTCGTTTGGGTGCAGCATTGCATGACCGCGCAATTATTAGTTGAATAAGTGCAGCGCCGAGTAGCAAAAAGAGGCCTGGTGATTAAGGGGGTAAATCCTCTGGAGCTCAAGTGGATAAGGGGGGATATGATCAACTTGTATAAATACATCAGTGGTTCATATAGTGAACTCGGTGTAGAGTTATTCACCCTGAGGTCATCACAGAGGACAAGGGGGCAATCTTTACGTTTGGAGGAAAAGAAATGTAATCTCCAAATACAGAAAGGTTTCTTCACAGTGAGAGCTGTGAAAATGTGGAAAAGACTCCCTCAAGAGTTGGCTCTGGCCAGCTCAGTGGATTGCTTTAAAAAAGTCCTGGATTCTTTCCTATATACACAGAATATAACTGGTTACTAACAGTTATAAGTAAAATTGATCCAGGGAATATCCGATTGCCTCTCGGGGGATCAGGAAGGGATTTTTTCACCTGCAGGAGTAAATTGGATCATGCGTTGCTGGGTTTTTTTGCCTTCCTCTGGATCAACTGTGGGTGTAGGATTATAACTTTTTTTTTTAATGGTTGAACTGGATGGACTTTTGTCTTTTTTCAAAGACAAAAAAAGACAAATATAAACCATATAAACTAAGATGCACATATGCAATCCCAGCATCTTTCAAGATCAATACACTTCTGTGTACATGAGTGGGAGTTATGTCCTTCTGGCAAGTTCAAACAAGATGGATGAAGATATCAGCCCCAGCAATGGAGTGGACGCTGCATCGTGTGTATATAGTTCTGCCTTTACCCTTTTGCTGCCAGTGGCGTTTTTGCATTTTTTTTTCTTTTACATGTTTAATAAAATAATTTCAAGCCTAAAGATTACATACAACCCCCAAAACGTTATATATTTTCTGAAAACAAACACCATACAGAATAAAATGGTGGTAGTTCCAATTTTGTATGTTACAGGATATTGGTGCAATAGTTATAAAAATGCTAAATTTCAGTAAAGAAATACACTAAAGTTAATTTTAGGGCACACAAACACAATAAATGTTCCCATTATCTGGTGAAACATAAAAGATGAGATCCCACCGAGTAAATAGATACCCAACATGTCAAACTTTTAAAACTGTGTGTGCCCATAAATGACAGCAAACTTCAATACCCTATATTTTCCATAGGCAATGCTTTAAAAGCCCCATCAGTTTAGAGTTAACCAAGAATAATGGGCCTTCAGTTATTGCTCCCACTCTGGCATGTGTGGTAGTATGTAACATGTATAGTGCAATCAATGTTTTTGTGTGTAGGTGCCACTGATTTATGCTCATACAGGTGTGTTTCTGTATGTCATGGTGGGTAAAAAGCTTGAGGGGTATCTTAAGTGCTTGGGTGGAACTTTAGGTGACAGGTTCTTTTTAATGAGATAGCTAGAGTCTAAAAGATTCCTGATGTCTCACCTATCCTCCAATGAAGCTACTGGAATTGCATGACGTCAGTGACACTAGGACCCTAAAGTGACGTTTTGCACGTTGCCTTCGAGTCAGTAACAGAAAGGGGAGATCAGAGAGTGGAGCGGATACCTGCTGATCTCGCTCACCTCTACTCAGCAGCATTCACCACGCTGGTTCCGGGTCTGCCAATGTGTCCTCAGAGCCCAGAAAACATGGCAGGGTGTGCACTTGGGGGGGGTCTCCACAGTTACAAGGGGGGGTAAGTGCAAGTAAGTGCAGGGCTCTGAGGAAGAGGTTGTGTCCTCGAAACGCGTTAGCCAGTTGGTCATCCACGGTTCCATTGTATGGACTCAGATGTTGTTTGGATCATACATCTTGTTCAGTTTGACATGCCTGTGTTATTTTGTCCATTGTGAGTATGATACCTATTTTGTTTCTTCAATAAATTATTTTAAACGATAATGCACTAGGTCGGTGCGCCCTTTTTCTGTTTCTCCATTTGTATCCAGTGTATTTGGACCACCCCGGTCTGTTGAAGGCAGCAAGCAGTGCATATTCCAGAAAATTCCAGAACATTCCTATTGGGTCTACTGAGTCCTTTCCTAGCGCAGGAGTAATGTGTTTGTTGTGTTGGACAGAACAGCCCTATCTTGTGCTTTATTTCTCTGCTGCATAAGTATATCTAAAGGCAATTTTTTTTTTCATTTTGGATCAAGTTTTTTTGCTGTCTGTGCCTCCATTAAGGAGATACACCCTCTCCATTAAGGAGATACACATAATATCCTGTTTACCATTATCACTGAAAGTGAAAGTAAAAGAAAAAAACACCAAATTTTGGGTTGTCCCCAGAAAAGTAATAGAGGGGAAATCTTCCAATAGGGACACTAACTCTGGTGGCCTGGGGGTCCCCAAGGAATTCCCTTAACCACTTGCCCTCCAGAGGATTTACCCCTCTTCCTGACCAGGCAATTTTGTGCAATACGGCACTGCGTTACTTTAACTGACAATTGCGCGGTCATGCAACGCTGTACCCAAATTAAATTTATGTCCTTTTTCCCACAAATAGAGCTTTCTTTAGGTGATATTTATTTTTCACGCTATAAACAAAAAATAGACAAACAATTTTGAAAAAAAAAACAATATTTATGACTTTTTGCTATAAAACATCCAGTGAAAAAGTTTAAAAATCTAATTTCAGCATAATTTTAGGTCAAAATGTATTCTGCTACATGTCTTTGCTAAGAAAATCCCAATACATGTAAATTAATTGGTTTGCATGAAAGTTATAGTGTCTACAAATGGCAGTATATATTCAGGAATTTTTTTTTTTATACTAGTAATGGCAGCGATCAACGACTTATAGTGGGACTGCAGCGGGCATTCTGACACTGGGTGGGAACTGCCACTGACATCCTAATGACACTAATACAGTGATCAGTGCTAATAAAAAGCACTAGCACTGTACTAATGACACTGGAGAGGAAGGGGTTAATATCTGGAGCGATCAAAGGATTACCTGTGTGCTGTTTTACATGATGTGCTGTGTGTGTTTTACTAGGGAAACATGCTGCTGTGTATTTCTCTGCTGTGCCGTGAAATACATAGCAGCATGTTATTGCTGGCAGGAGAAAGACCTGTGTTGTTTACACACAGGTCTCTCCCCTGTCAGTGTTACTAAGCGCTCGCTGGCCGGGACCCGGTGATTGACATCTGTAGCAGCCCATGGCGGTGCGGGTAGGGCGGTCCCTACTTGGAAATACAAATCACGTATATATATACGTGATTTTGCGCAGCCCTGCTGCCCTGTAATTGTAGTTCTACTGGAGGGCAACGGGGAAGCGGTTAATTTACAGGAATTTCCTTTCATTTCCTGTTTGGCTATGGGACAGGAAGTGAAGGGAAATCTCTGCAATAGGATACAGATGGCGAAATAAATCTGACAGGGGTTATAACCCTGTCTTACTCTATCCAAAATAAAAAAAAAAAAAAGAAAAAGTTTTGCCTATAGTTCTGTTTAAGTACCACTTAGCCCTGGTTCACAATGATGCGATTTTCCAGAATCGCAGGGAATCGCATGACAAGTGAAATAACGTGACTTTCAGTGGAGGCTGTTCACATATGTGCAGTGCAAATCCCTTCCAATTTGAAAAAGGGTCTTGTGCAAGTTTAGGGCAGTGCAGTGCAATTTTAAGCTCCACAGAGTTGAATGGAAACTGCATGCAAAATGCTGATGTGTGCTAATGTAAGATGATTTTGGTGCGTTCTCAGCTAGTCTTTGCATTCTTCTCCAACTACCCTCCCTAACAATGCAGTTGATGTACTAAAAGTGAGGAGTGCAAATTTTGGTGCAGCTGTGCATAGTAGCCAATCAGCTTCTAACTTCAGCTTGTTCAATTAAGCTTTACAGAAAAAAAATGGAAGGGGATTGGTTTCTATGCAGAGCTGCGCCAGATTCTGCACTCTCCAGGTTTAGTAAATCAACCCTCATGTCCAAGGCAGGAGAGAGAGGGAGGGAGAGAGAGAGAGGATGGAGGGAGGGAGAGAGGATGGAGAGAGGATGGAGGGAGGGAGAGAGGGGGGAGAGAGAGGGGGAGGGGGGGAGGGGGGAGAGAGGGAGGGGGGGAGAGAGGGGAGGGAGGGGGGAGAGGAGGGGAGAGAGGGAGGGGGGGAGAGAGAGGGAGGGGGAGAGAGAGGGGGGGGGGAGAGAGGGAGGGGGGGAGAGAGAGGGGGGGGAGGGGAGAGAGGGAGGGGGGAGAGAGAGGGGGGAGGGGGAGAGAGAGGAGGGGGGAGAGAGGGGGGGGGGGAGAGAGAGGGGAGAGAGAGAGGGGGAGGGGAGGGGAGAGGGGGGGGGAGAGAGAGGGGGGGAGAGAGAGGGAGGGGGGGGAGAGAGGGGGGGAGGGAGAGGGGGGAGGGGGGAGAGAGGGGGGGGGAGAGAGGGGGAGAGAGAGAGGGGGGAGAGAGGGGGGGAGGAGGGGGAGGGAGGGGGGGGAGGGGGGAGGGGGGGGGAGGGAGGGGGAGGGGGAGGGAGGGGGAGGGAGGGGAGGGGAGAGGGAGGGGGAGGGAGGAGGGGGGGGGGAGGGAGAGAGGGAGGGGGGGAGGGGAGGGAGAGAGGGAGGGGGGGAGGGGGGAGAGAGGGAGGGGGGAGAGGGGCTCTTTTGAGGGAGGGGAGAGAGGGAGGAGAGAGGGAGGGAGGGAGGGGGAGAGAGGGAGGGAGAGAGGGAGGGAGGGAGAGAGGGAGGGAGGGAGAGAGGGAGGGAGGGGGGAGAGAGGGAAGGGGGGGGAGAAGTAAGGGGGGAGGGAGAGGGATGAAGGGGGGGAGAGGAGGAGGGAGGGGGGTAGAGGAGAGGGCGGGAGAGAGGGGGGTAGAGAGAGAGGGGAGGGGGATAGAGAGAGAGGGGAGGGGGAGAGAGAGGGCGGGGGAGGGGGAGAGAGAGGGGGGAGAGAGGGGGGGGGGGGAGAGAGAGGGGGGAGAGGGGGGAGAGAGAGGGGGAGAGGGGGGAGAGGGAGAGAGGGGGGAGAGGGGGGAGAGAGAGAGCAGGCAGGGGGCGAGAGAGAGGAGAGAGAGGGGGAGAGGGGGGCGAGAGAGGGGGAGGGGGAGAGGGGGGAGAGAGAGAGGGGGAGGGGAGAGAGGGGGAGGAGGGGGGAGAGGTAGGCGGGGGAGGAGAGAGAGGAGAGAGAGAGGGGGAGGGGAGATGGGGAGGGGGGGAGAGAAAGATAGAGAAGGAGGGGAGGGGGAGAAAGAGAGTGAGGGGGAGAGAGAAGGAGGGGAGAGAGGAGGGGAAAGAGAAGGAGGGGAGAGAGAGAGAGAGATTGAGATTGCAGCTGTATCCAAATTGCATGAAAACTACATAAATTCGCACTGAAGTTAAAACACAATGCAGAACTGGTACAAGTTGCACCACATCAGTGTGCACCTAGTCTTACAAGCCTTGCCCCTTGATTGGACAGTAAAAAAAAGAGGAAGACTTATGAAACAATCACTCAGTTTCTCTCAGTGTGTTCCTTGTAAGCACATGAGTACTGCAGCACAACTGATTGGCTTCTTGCGCTGTTCTCTCTCTCTCAGTCTAAACTCGATGATACTGGAGATTGCAAGAGGCTCATGCCAAAAATAAATTCAGGTATTTTTTGTTTAGAAAAACACATTTAATAATGTATGATGAATACAGGATTGCATTCATTTGTGTTCTTTAACCCTGCCTGGAGTTTACCTTTGATAACAAGGGAAAGAAAAAACAAAGTCAATAGAGTACCTTAAGCAGAACTCCAGCAACTAAAAGATTAGGCAAAATTTCAAACATGTTTGGGAGTCCATCTCCACAAGAGGTGTTACGTGCCGCCCAGAAGAATGAAGACACTTCCCACGTGTCAGAGTCTGCAGCAATCTAGTATAGTAAAGTCTGGCCAGGAGAGCCAGCACTTTTATAAACAAATCAGAATATAGGAGGGTTTTTTTTGTATGTAGAAGTAAGACTGCGAATGCAGAGAGCATCAAAAAAATACATTATCGAATATACTGTATCCATATAAACACACTGAAGCTGGAATCTGGTTATATAAAGTTGTTTGAAGGCCACTACATGCATACATATAGGCTTAATAATACTTCCAAGCTCTGAGGCCTCGAATCTCGCAAAGCGGCAGCCTCTCACAAAATCACTGTGACTGATCAGAGCGCGGTCCTGGTCACCGAACATCATATCTGCGCAAGCCATACATGTGTGTTCCATTAAAAAATTGCTCATTTGCAAATCCCTCATGAAAGAGACTTTCTTTGTGCTTTCCCAGAATGGACACGAGTTTATTTCTCCATAAAATTAGGCAGAAATCCAAAATATTCAAGACACGTCAGACTCCGTGTTTATTCTGAAAGCTTAACTCAACATTGTCTGCCCATTTGATGACATTAAAATACTGCAGGCTCCTACACATAAAGAACTAATTTTGTTGGCGGCAATATCTGTATGGACATAGTTCTGGATATCAAGAGTGTGATAATTATTTGCCACATGACATTAGTTGCTAGAAGTCTGACAAAGGATGTTGGTTTGGGTCACAATACGACTGGTATATTTATGCAACGAATAGCAGCCATTCAAATCAAGCAGAAAAAAAAACATAAAAAATAGTTTAGCCATATTTATGTAAAACTCATAATAAACGGCAACAGTAATACCAGGTTTCCAGTAAAAAAAGGAAGGCCCTTTGATAGACTGAAGCATCGAAGGCACTGCATGATGCGTGATCAGGAGCCCACCCCACCGGGAGTTGACAGTCTCCCGAGCTGCTGGTGGTTGTGAGGTCACTGTGCTGGGAGCACTGAGCGAGCATGCTCAGGACACTGGCTGTACTCGTATATATGGCAGCTCAGTGTTAAAGCCCAGTACTACCCATTACTAGCCAGAAAGATATTCTGCCTGCTGGTAGTAAGTCACTATATTTCCCCTCAGCAGAAGTAAGCACGCCAGTAGCTGTTTAAGTGGAAAACCAGCAAATTTTTTGAATGGGGGGGTGTGTGCCTGAGGACTACTACATGTTTTTTTGTCCGTGTCCAATGTCACCATTAAAGAAAGTGAGGGGAAACCTCAAAGAAGGGGGGTACCCACCTTATAATGCCCACCTCCCTTTTTTCACCACACCAATCCCAACATCAAGAGTGCTGACTTAACATAGGGATTGAAACATCAAGTCCGATTAGCTGTACCTACTAAACTTTCATCACTCTTTGCAAGGAAAAAAAAACATGAAATGAAAGAAAAAAAAAAAATCTGATATTTGGCATGGCTGTCGCCTCAGTGCTGGGCCAGGAATAAAAAGTGGTTGGCAACTGAGGCTAAGGGATGGCAGAGCACTGTATTCCATCAAACATACTCAGGACTTCAGAGATGGGGTTAAGTAAAAGTAACAGAAATCAGGCGATGAGTCTCTACAACACATTCCACGTGCCCAGCTCTGGCTGCGGAACTCGTGGTTTCTGGTGCTTAGGAAAGCAGATATGTCTTTCTTAAAGTACATTTCTGTGAAACTTGCATGGGTCAGCATAAGCTATGAAACAGGAGACAGCAGCTTGCCAGGCGTGCACAACAATCACCCTTGGGAATCACATGAATCACATGATATGCAAGTAATAACAGTAGGGGACTTACCTGTCCTCACTCAGTTCTGGCAGAGGAGACTGTGGGGGAAGAGAGGCCAAGCAGAAATCTTCCACCATGAACATCCCAGCATCATCCTCTGAACCGAGGACTGCAATAACGGCACCTGAGGGGAGTTCAAGAAAAGGAAAATATTATAGAAGATTAGAACATGTGAAATACAGTAAACACTGCTACAATCAACATGTTGCTTTTAATAACAGATGGTGTTTATTGTGCTTATGCATATTATATATCTGTGGACAGTGAGGAAAATCCAGACACAATAAATAACCTGCCCTCAGACAGAAGGAAGTGCCTTGTCTCTTGCCAAACCACGTTCAATCTCAAAGCCTTGTAATCCCCCCATTTAATATACACTATATTGCCAAAAGTATCGGGACGCCTGCCTTTACACGCACATGAACTTTAATGGCATCCCAGTCTTAGTCCGTAGGGTTCAATATTAAGTTGGCCCACCCTTTGCAGCTATAACAGCTTCAACTCTTCTGGGAAGGCTGTCTACAAGATTTAGGAGTGTGTCTATGGGAATGTTTTGACCATTCTTCCAGAAGCACATTTGTGAGGTCAGGAACTGATGTCGGACGAGAAGGCCTGGCTTGCAGTCCCCGCTCTAATTTATCCCAAAGGTGTTCTATCGGGTTCAGGTCAGGACTCTGTGCAAACCAGTCAAGTTCCTCCACCTCAAACTGGCTCATCCATGTCTTTATGGACCTTGCTTTGTGCACTGGTGCGCAGTCATGTTGGAACAAGAAGGGGCCATCCCCAGACTGTTCCCTCAAAGTTGGGAACATGAAATTGTCCAAAATGTCTTGGAATGCTGACGCCTTAAGAGTTCCCTTCACTGGAACCAAGCCCTACCCCTGAAAAACAACCCCACATCATAATCCCCCCACCACCAAACTTTACACTTGGCACCATGCAGTCAGGCAAGTACCGTTCTCCTGGCAACTGCCAAACCAAGACACGTCCATTGGATTTCCAGACAGAGAAGTGTGATTCATCACATTAGAGAACACGTCTCCGCTGCTCTAGTGCTTTACACCACTGCATCCAACGCCTTGCATTGCACTTGGTGATATAAGGCTTGGATGCAGCTGCTCAGCCATGGAAACCCATTCCATGAGCTATGCACTGTTGTTGTGCTAATCTGAAGGCCACACAAAGTTTGGAGGTCTTTAGCTATTGACTTTGTAGACAGTTGGCGACTTCTGCACACTGTGCGCTTCAGCATGTGCTGACCCCGCTCTGTCATTTTACTCGTGGCTGAGTTTCTGTTGTTCCCAGTTGCTTCCACTTTGTTATAATACCACTAACTAATATTTAGTAGCAAGGAAATTTCAAGGATGGACTTACTGCACAGGTGGCAACCTATCACGGTAGCACGCTTGAATTCACTGAGCTCCTGAGAGCAACCCATTCTTTCACAAATGTTTGTAGAAGCAGTCTGCATGCCTAGGTGCTTGGTTTTATACAACTGTGACCATGGACGTGATTAGAACACCTGAATCCAATGATTTGGAGGGATGTCCCAATACTTTTGGCAATATAGTGTATGTTTGATAAATGCACCAATATAAAGCTGTTTACATTCACTGCTAGATTCTCTTTCTTTGTCAGCTGGGATTCTGTCTGTGGTTTAATAAGATCATTATTCTGTGGTCTCTTCTTTTCTCTACCACTGCATTACTGGTCTCTGAGCATGCACACAACTGCATGTTACAGAAGCATTACGTAATGAAGCCTAAAGCTTGCCAAGGCACATAAGTCATATGAGAAAAGTCAGCAGATAATTATATTATTATGTTTACTGTTGAACTTTAAATAACAGAAAGGAGAAAAGGGTTAAAGGAGGCGTTTCCTTTAAAATTCCACAATGGTCGATGAAACCGCTGATGAGCAAATACCTACCTGTCACAAACGTCTGTACATCTGTGGCCCCCTCCAGCTTAATCCTCTGAAGTTCATCCTCCAGTATAAGCTCATCTGAGTCACTGATATATTTGTGTCTGGGTGGCTGAGGCAGAAGATTGTGCTACAAAGATGAAAAGGGATTCTGTTATAAGAACCAGCCAGTCATCGGTAAATCCACACATCATGTCTGTAGCTTGGGGACACAAAAGGTATTACCATCCACAATGCAGGGTCCTGGGGTTAACATTTCACAAGGATTCTGGCTCTGTGAATTTGTATGCAGTTTCATCTGGCAGTCCAAAAACATACCAATAAGTTGAATAGATTCTGCCTAGCTTGTCCCTAAGGTGTGTGGCCACCTCTATGACTGATAAGACATTAGTCCACTACTTTCTTTGTTACTTGAAAGTAATTTCTGCAAGGGTCAGAAAAACAGAAACCCTATCTATGATAACCATTATAATCTCCATATGCTGATTGAGGTAAACATCAGCAACTATATTTCAACACATTATTTGCATATGAACAGGTTACATAGAATGAAAAATGCATGATGCTTGTATGATGTGCTAGATTGGTTTGAGTAGAAATATTTTAGGTTTTTCACAAGCATCAGTCTTGGAAATGTACAGTGAATGGATAGGATACAAAATATCTAATCGAAATGTTTGAAAAGTGAAAGAAGGGGGGCGCTCGCAAGCAGCAATCCAAGATGGCCGCTTGCTGATCTAGCTCCTCGCCCACCAGACACATTGGCTTTTTTTCGAGCAACCTGCAGAGCTTCTCCCCTACACCCGAAACCACTCCTCACTCCCTTACCCCTTTTATCAGGAACTAAACTTTCCAACACTTCCAGATGGCGATCGGAATGCCCTTAATGCCAGTATTTTGGAAAGTGAAGTTCTCTGGGCTATCAAATCCATGAAGCCTTCCAAGACCTTGGGCCCTGACGAATTCTCGGGTCTCTATTAAAAAAAACGTTCTCTGCTCTCCTAGCATTCCATTTAGCTAATTATTTTAATGCCCTGACAACTGGGTCGATTCCCTCTTCTGACACCCTCAGAGACCATATATGAATGATCCCTAAAACACTGGAGCATGCAAATGAACCTCAAGTTTTTTGTCCGATTTCCCTTCTGAACGACGGTTTGAAAATTTTGGGAAAGATCCTGAGTTTTCGCATCAACAACTACTGTACATGTGCCATTTAATACATAGAGACCAAGCTGGCTTTGTGTCGGGTAGGCAGGCGGGTGATAATGTTCGCAAAGTAGTGCATCTCATCTATCTCCTACACCACTGGAAAGATTCCCGGCTTTCTCCTCTCTTTGGATATATATATAAGGCATTTGACTCTTTAACTTGGGAAAATCTATAATTTGTACTTACTCGTTGGGGTTTTGGAGACTCCCTGTTAACTTTGATTAAAGCCTTATACTCCACACCTACATCATTAGTTAAATACACCAGGTATTTTTCAGCGTCATTCCCCATCTATAGGGGCACCAGACAGGGTTGCCCCGTTCCCAGCACTGTTCCTCTTAGCACTAGAGCATTTAGCAATTGCACTTCGAGCAGATCAAAATGTCACTGGAATCCCTTATGCAGGCCATGACTTCAAAGTGAGTCTTTTTGCGGATGACGCTCTTCTGATGCTGACCAACCCACTCACGACTCTTCCTAATTTGCTCCACCTTTTGACGCGCTTTTCTACCATATTGTGCCTTCGGGTCAACATGGATAAGTCCATAGACTTGAATGTCAATCTGGATCATGCCCTGGTTACTCGTCTACAATCCCGTTTCCCGTTTCACTGGGCGTCCACATCCATTAATATTCTGGCCAGCCCATTAACCACTACCTATTCTTCTCTGTTCTCTGCTATTACCCTTTGCTCCACTCCTTGACCTCTCTCATGCAATCATGGCGGTGTTCGTACCTCTCCTGGATAGGTTGCATCAGATCAGTGCAGATGACTGTTTTACCTAAGCTTCTGTACTATTTCCGCACCCTACCTGTACAGGTACCCCCCACATATCCTCCGCCTGATCCAGAATAGAATTCTACGCTTTATTTGTGCTGATAAACATCCCAGAGTCCTCAAGGCTACTCTGTTCATACACAGGCTACAGGGGGGTTTGGGGGTCCCCCATATTGCTAAATATTATTTGGCCAGCCAGATATCCCCGTTGACCTGGCTCCATGCTTCTTCCAATGAACCCTTATGGGTGCTCCTGGAGCTTCCTAACTGTGCTCCTCTCTCAATTCATAGCTTGCGTCTCTGGGACTCTGTGCTTTATTCTAACTCCCTTATGTCTCCCTTCCTTCCTTCGCTGCCAATCATTAACAACCCTCTTTTTCCTCCTGGCCTGGATCAGCCTCATGCCTTCTCTTGGTGGATATCCAGTGGTCTCACACAAAAGTGCGACACTTTTTGACCACCTGGTCTCCCGACATGGGCTGTCTTTCGTGAATCCCACGATGCTCTCTAGTCGGAATATTTCCGATTTCTTCAACTTCAACACTGGACATATTCCCTTCGACACACTTCATCTTCAGAAAACAACATTTGAGCATATTTGGCAGCAACCCGGGTTGGGTTCCCCGGGTCTCATCTCCTTACTTTATGCGTCTCTGAATAAGCGATCATCTCATGCCTCTCGAGACCTGGGATTTGAGATCGAGGCGGCGGACTAGAACAAGGTTTGGTCTTCTAATGGAGGTGGATTGTAAAGTGTTGCTGTTGTAGCATTGTGTCCCTGCACGTATATAGCTCATGCCAATCCAACTTCTACTGACTGTTGTTTTCATGGGTGTGGCCATCGTGGGGATGTGTTACATACCTGGAAGTGTCCACGACTAGTGGGCTTCTGGTCTCGTGTGTTTGGCCTACTCTATTCCCAGTTCCACCTGTCTATACAAAAGGAGGCGAGATTTGCCTTATTTCACTGCCCTATTCGGGCCTATTTGCTCGTCAACAAAAATTGGCATCCTACTTGTTCACAGCAGCCAAGAGGAAGATTGCCCAGGGGTATAAGAAACCTACAGTCTCCTTTCAGGGAGTGAAGGACCGTTTGATGGTTCTGATGCCTAATGAACACATGTCCAGTATTCTCAAGATTCCCATGCTACGTTTTTGAAAATTTGGGAACCATGGTGGACGTATGCCTTCCCTGATCTTCCTTTAATGAGCGTAGGTTGGTCCTGACTGATCTTTTATATATACAACTAGTTGGACCATAGAGGCAGGGGATATGCCCCGAAAGCTAGTGCATGTTTTTGAGTCAGGGTAAGCAATGCAATTTTAAACTGCCAATCAAAAAGCCTGAATAAAGCATAATAAGTAGCTTTTTTTGCTACAGATATAATCCTTTGTTGTTCAGTCTTTAAGCAGATTATAAATCCTGCAGAAAACCACAACTACGGATCAGCACCACTCATGCCTAAGAAAGAAAAAAAAATGCATGTGTTTACAGAGCTAAATCAAATAAAATATTCTAACTACTCCACAGGAATGTCTAGTTACTTCTACAAATAGTAACTGAGACAAAGTAAATGCTTTTCATTAAGAACTTGGAACACTATCTGACGTACAGTTGGAGAGTTGTGACTGACATCCTCTGGAAGATAAAGGAATTGCAAGAAAACAGAAGACAAAAACAAAATGCAGCCTAAAGCTAGCCATACACTGCTTAAATGTATGTCAATTCCTACTGAGCTGGCCAAAATTCGAATTGTGGGTCGCCATATCGGCACCACCTAGCTCAACAAAAGTCAATTTTAAAACTGACTGAGCGGAGTGGAAAAATGAAAGGACAGATTGTGACTGCATATTTTTAGACTCCTCCATTCACACTCCTTAGTGTGGACGCAGGAGTGGGATTGATTCAGCCTCTGAGGCTGAACGAAAGAAATCTATACATGTATAGCTAACCTATATGTATAGCTAACCTGGGCTGTAGTAATGCTCATAAGCAAACAACCAATCTGTTGGCAAGGACAAGTGACATTGCTAAGCAATAAAGCTAAATTGTACTTATCTATTCATCTGTATATCATGCGATTTCAGTAGCCAATCAAAGTCTCACTAGATATGCAAAGGTCTAATTTGAATATCAAGATGTAGAACCTGAAAATGTGAACCACAACTCAATTTCAACAGCAAAAATACCTATAGCAAAAATTAATTGCAATCACCTAGAAATATCTGCACCTAAGCAGGAATACAGACAGGTGCACGAAGAAAATTCCCTGTGGGTTCAAATATTTTCAAGCAACTGGCTCAATGTAAGAAGATCTTCCTGCACATGTGTGTTTATATACTGTGTGTGTATATACTGTATGTGTGTGTAATATATATATATATATATATATATATATATATATATATATACAGTCCTTCCTCCTATATAACATCAACGCAGCATATAAGCGTTATGAGGGGCGTCCCTTTTTAGAAACAGAAAGCATTGTATGTACTGGGAGAACACGTACCTCTTCACTGATCTCCCTTAGAATTGATGGCTGGAGCTCCATAGATTTGAACAGTGTCCCCACCACACAGCATCTCTCTGGTCCCTGCAGCTCACATAACTTCCTCACAGTTATGTCATCACCTGTAAGCAAAGAAAGATAAAGTGTCATTATACTGCACTGGTTTTAGGTCACAGCCAGAAATACAACTGAGTGTAACTAAGAAGTGGTTTAAGGTCCATTAACATTTAATTTGAGTCCAAAGTTCTTTACAATTAAAGAATGAGCAAATAAAGATTATTAAGCAAAATCGGTTATAGGGGAATTCTATGTTTGCTTAAAAACATACACAGTATAACTGTTTCGCATTAGGACTCCAAAAATACTTCGAGTGCTGGCCCTCTGTTCATGCAAGCTATCTTTGCCCAACATCTGGGAAAATTTGGGAATGCATTACTGAGAACAGATCATTACTGGGAGGAGGTCGATATTCTTGAAAGCAGTGGTGGAAAAAACAGACAGCACTTACAGCACAACCAAATAAAGTGATATCGTAAGCATTATCACACACATTGGCTATTGGAAAATGCCCACACTGAATTTTAATAGTAGGTAAGGCTATGGTATGTAAACTCTAAAGCCAGCCATAGAGAACTCGAATCTTGGTCGATTCAGCAGGAACCAGCTGAGATTCTAACCTTACATAGGCAGGCTGAATGTACCCAAATTGATCAATCAACTTGGGTACAACCAGCCTGCCAGATTTTACATGCAATTATCTCTAGCAACTGTTATAGCCACTAGCGATAATCACGGTCTTCTCCCCCCAAGCCAAGAAAACACTATAGCTTGGCAGGAGGGATTCCCTGGTCAACACTGTCTGTGTTGATGGGGAAATCGAGAGAATTCAGGAAAATGCAGTAAAGAAATTTGCACCGTCTATGGCCGGCCTAACAACGAACTGCCCTTTTTTCTTGTTTTTGATCTGTTAAATATACAATTGAAAAGATGTCTGTTTGAGAAGCGCAAAAAGCATGTGTTGACCCTACCAAAAATCTGGTGAGCTTGTAAAGTCTCTGTACTGAGCAGTGCCTCTGATGCACTGAAATCCCAAGCAGTGTTACCAGCCTTTATAGCGAACATTTTTTTCTTGGGTTTAGAAATGTTTTATTATCCAGATAATCTACGCCCCGCTCTAATGTATTAAAAGTGTATTAAACGTTTATTGCAGCAAGCTCACCCCAACTTCTTCTTAGCACGTTCTACCAGGAGTGGCCTCATTTGTAACAGTCGGGTGGCATAGATGTGGGCATATTGGCGAGTGAAATTGCGTTCCCCCAGGCGATAGCTTTCTGATTGGTTGGCATAGTGAGCATTGGAGACTCTCGTGAAGGTAGAGGAGACCTCAGATGGTGGAGTCAGGAGGCCAGGGCCCTGCCCAACTGATAAATCTGTAAACATGGTGACAACCTGCAGAAAAAAGCATAACAGAGGGACAGCAAAATTAGCACACATCTTAAATGCTTTTCTGGTACAAAGTGCAGTAGGAAAAGACCAGTGCCATGCTTTTAGGATGAAGCTAACCAGAACCAAAAATTAGGGACAAACATTTCAAGAGACAGTTCTAAAGAACCTGAAGGCCTTCCTGGTGTATTCAAAGCCACGTAGGGTGTGTCCAAAACCATAACTATTTTCAGTGCAGGGAAAGATTAGTACTTCTGTCATGTTTTTATTCTTTTGTATATCCCCACTAAGGAGATTCACTGTTTGTCCTGAGGCAAACATTGATGGGAAGTTTAAAACTTTACAGTTGTCACCAGAACAAAAGGTGAAAGTCCAATGTGGACGCCTGTTCCAGTGAAAACTTTGTAAGAGGAAATTTCTTCCTACTTCCTTTTTGGGACAGGTAATGAAGGGAAATCTCCCCAGACCACAGATAGTAAAAATACTATAAAAAAAAATATGACCTATACTCTCAATTTGTATGCAGTCAGGCAGGCCCTTGCACTACATAGTTGAGGGTACATCTAGAGGAAATTGAATAAGAAAATTGTATAATGTAATAAATGTATGGCCAGCTCAAACGCATTCAAACGCACTTCCCTTTGCAATGTGCATGTGGGTGCCAATGTAATGTTACCAGTACCTCAAATACAGATCACAAATGTACCCCAGTACCACATTTTTTAAAAGTTATACATGCACTATTTTTCTACGTTTAAATGAATGGGCTGCGAAACTTGTGGGAATCTCATAGGAACAGGGTATGTGTTCCTGTGCAATCCTGACCGGCCCTAAGGGCTAGTTAACACTAGCTTACACAGAAAAACTAACCATTTTCCTATACAGGTAGTAGTGGGTGGTGTCTTGAATTTTTATAACACAAGGTACTACATTTTGTCAGCAGTGATGCACAGACACACAGTTGGACAGAGACTTTAGGAGAGCTCCATTGTGGAAACATACTGTGTATTCCCACAACTCTCCACCTCCCTCCATTGTAGTGTTTTTTGTGTGCTCTTGAGGAGACCTGTGAAGCATGTAACATAAAAAAGTACATGAGCTTCTTTTGAACTACAAGCTTTAAGGCCTGCTTCACACCTATACGTGTTGCATCCTGCTGCAGGAAAAAAAAAAGTTCCTCACCCTTTCCAAAAAAGCAGCTGCTGCTGAAAACACATACAGTCAGGTCCATAAATATTGGGACATCGACACAATTCTAACATTTTGGCTCTATACACCACCACAATGGATTTGAAATGAAACAAATAAGATGTGCTTTAACTGCAGACTGTCAGCTTTAATTTAAGGGTGTTTACATCCAAATCAGGTGAACAGTGTAGGAATTACAACAGTTTGCATATGTGTCTCCCACTTGTTAAGGGACCAAAAGTAATGGGACAGAATAATAATCATAAATCAAACTTTCACTTTTTAATACTTGGTTGCAACTCCTTTGCAGTCAATTACAGCCTGAAGTCTGGAATGCATAGACATCACCAGACGCTGGGTTTCATCCCTGGTGATGCTCTGCCAGGCCTCTACTGCAACTGTCTTCAGTTTCTGCTTATTCTTGGGGCATTTTCCCTTCGGTTTTGTCTTCAGCAAGTGAAATGCATGCTCAATCGGATTCAGGTCAGGTGTTTGACTTGCCCATTGCATAACATTCCACTTCTTTCCTTTAAAAAACTCTTTGGTTGCTTTTGCAGTATGCTTTGGGTCATTGTCCATCTGCACTGTGAAGCGGCGTACAATGAGTTCTGAAGCATTTGGCTGAATATGAGCAGATAATATTGCCCGAAACACTTCAGAATTCATCCTGCTGCTTTTGTCAGCAGTTACATCATCAATAAATACAAGACAACCAGTTCTATTGGCAGCCATACATGCCCACGCCATGACACTACCACCACCATGCTTCACTGATGAGGTGGTATGCTTAGGATCATGAGCAGTTCCTTTCCTTCTCCATACTCTTCTCTTCCCATCACTCTGGTACAAGTTGATCTTGGTCTCATCTGTCCATAGGATGTTGTTCCAGAACTGTGAAGGCTTTTTTAGATGTTATTTGGCAAACTCTAATCCGGCCTTCCTGTTTTTGAGGCTCACCAATGGTTTACATCTTGTGGTGAACCCTCTGTATTCACTCTGGTGAAGTCTTCTCTTGATTGTTGACTTTGACACACATACACCTACCTCCTGGAGAGTGTTCTTGATCTGGCCAACTGTTGTGAAGGGTGTTTTCTTCACCAGGGAAAGAATTCTTCGGTCATCCACCACAGTTGTTTTCCGTGGTCTTCTGGGTCTTTTGGTGTTGCTGAGCTCACCGGTGCGTTCCTTCTTTTTAAGAATGTTCCAAACAGTTGTTTTGGCCACGCCTAATGTTTTTGCTATCTCTGTGATGGGTTTATTTTGTTTTTTTAGCCTAATGATGGCTTGCTTCACTGATAGTGACAGCTCTTTGGATCTCATCTTGAGAGTTGACAGCAACAGATTCCAAATGCAAATAGCACACTTGAAATTAACTCTGGACCTTTTATCTGCACATTGTAATTGGGATGAGAGAATAACACACACCTGGGCATGGAACAGCTGAGAAGCCAATTGTCCCATTACTTTTGGTCCCTTAACAAGTGGGAGGCACATATGCAAACTGTTGTAATTCCTACACTGTTCACCTGATTTGGATGTAAATACCCTCAAATTAAAGCTGACTTTCTGCAGTTAAAGCACATCTTGTTCGTTCCACTTCAAATCCATTGTGGTGGTGTATAGAGCTAAAAATTGTAGAATTGTGTCAATGTCCCAATATTTATGGACCTGACTGTAGATGTGAATGTGTCTCATAGGAAACCATGTTAAATGGACTGTAGTGAGTTTCTGCAAAATGCAAAAAGCACTAAAAAAAACACTATGTTGCAAAAAGTATTGGGATGCCTGCCTTTACACACACATGAAGTTTAATGGCATCCCAGTCTTAAGGTGGGAATACACGATTAGAAAATTGAACGATAGGTCATCCGACGACTGAGAGGCGTTCGTTTGTTGGTCAAAATTGTGGGCCACATTAGCCAATCTAAAAAAAATCGTTCGTCGGGCAATACCTAGTGTTGACGTCTTCCGTACAAGTGGAAGTGATGCGGTGTGCGGGTGACCTTGTAGCCACGCCCTTCCGTCCAGAATGAGCGATATACACAACAATTAACAGCAATGAGTATAATATAGTTTATGACATTAACTATATACATAAATAGTGATACATAAAATATAATATGCAGAATTCTGGTTTCATTATCTCATTAGGCCAATCTACATTTGGATTTTTCGTTCGAGTTTACGAAGATTCCTTGGACATAAACATCCGGGTCATCTTCTGTTTCCGCTCATGTGTGATAGCGCTTGATAGATTTTTTTCGTACAACCGTCATACCACCGCATAGAAAATCGGTCGTTCGAATGCGAAATGACAACATTTTTCACTGCTGTTCAACCGGATTTTTTCGTTCACAATATCGTTATCGGTTAAAACACCTGCTCATCAACAAAAAGAAAGTAATTTGATCCGTGTTTCCGCAAAAATTTTTCGTACAATTTTCTTATCGTGTGTATGGGGCATTAGTCCGTAAGGTTCAATATTGAGTTGGTCCACCCTTTGCAGCTATAACAGGCTAGGATGCAGCAGCTCGGCCATGGAAACCCATTTCATGAAGCTCTCTATGCACTGTTGTTGTGCTAATCTGAAGGCAACACCAAGTTTGGAGGTTTTTAGCTATTGACTCTTCAGACAGTTGGTGACTTCTGTGCACTGAGCGCTTCAGCATGCGCTGACCCCGCTCTGTCATTTTATGTGGCCTACCACTTGGTGGCTGAGTTGTTGTTGTTCCCAGTTGCTTCCACTTTGTTATAATACCACTAACAGTTGACGGTGGAATATTTAGTAGCAAGGAAATTTCACGGATGGACTTATTGCACAGGTGGCAACCTATCACGGTACCACGCTTGAATTCACTGAGCTCCTGAGAGCGAACCATTCTTTCACAAATGTTTGTAGAAGCAGTCTGCATACCTAGGTGCTTGATTTTAAAAACTCGTGGCCATGGAGGTGATTGGAACACCTGAATCCAATGATTTGGAGAAGTGTCCCGATACTTTTCGCAATATAGTGTAGGTGTAAACCAGGCCTTAGCCCTGATTCACATATGTGCAGGTGGTGCCACTGCGGATCTGCACGAAAATCCATGCAACCACACCACCCGCACAGAGAAATGCAGACACGTGGGCGGGTGCCATTAGTTCTAATGGCACGCCACCCGCACTGGAAAACGCAACCGTGCAGGCTGCATTTTCAGAAGAAGTGCAGGGGCATCTTCCCTGTGTGTCATGGGGTATGGGATTCTATTCAAATGAATGGGCTCTCGTGCCTGAGCAAAATGCGGCCCACAAGGCTGCATATATGTGAACCAGGGGTAAAAGAGAAGTAGTGAGAAAGCTTTTTTTGACTATACTTCTCCTGTAGGTTACAGGAATGCAGTTCTCAGGATGCTCAGTTCAAGTGTGAATGCAGATTAAAAAAGAAGCAGACACCTTTATTCATTTAAGCCGTACAGACAGTCTGAAGGATACTGCACTGGCATTTGCTCTTTTACTTAGGACCATTTTGTCATCTCTTCTGCTGTACTGTGTGAATGCAAGGCAGCTATCATATTAGTGAAGGTACAAGCTATCACCAGGCAGCTCCGTCTAACCTATTCTCAGATCCAGCCCCCTGAGGACATCATTTGTGTAATGCAGCGAACACTAAGGCAGTAGTGGGCAGGACATTGATGCATGAGCTGCTTCTAGTCTTTTTTTTTGCTTTTTTTTTTTTTTACCATTGTTAGAGCGATTATAAAGGTTACTTTTTTTTTTTTTGCTGTGTGCAGTGGTTTTGCACAGAGCAGCCTGGATCCTCCTCTTCTCAG